AAAATATTTTTTTCTTCTTGTGACATTACGCATTTATTTCATTTTACTAATGAATTCTTGTACTCACATGTTCTTTAAGCAAAATAAAATGTCTTCTTATCTTCTCCTTTATGCGGCTCACTCAAATGTTCAAAAACAACTAAATATTTTTTTTATTCTTCTTTTTTGTTCATGTTTGTTCACTTTCGTTGTTAAAAAACAATTCAATTATGTTATCATTAATTCCCACACAAAATTATGATTCTCATAATTATAGCACAATCGATAATGTCTATAATCATTTTTAAAACACATAAAAATGTGATTCTATAATTCTTGCACCACTTGTTAAAAAAAAACAAATCAGGGGAGTCGCTAGCCTTTACAATTTCAGGGGGCTCAACTAAAAAAAAATATGAGGGCTTCGCCCCCATACTCCCTGTATTGCGGGCCTTTGACCCGCTTTTGTCCCGCCTTCGGCGGCCGGGTTTTATATTAATATATTTTACTTTTTTAATTGAAATTTGTAAACTCTGAACAATTATCATAATCTTTTGTCATTTATTATACAAATAATAAAAGTAGAACAATACAAGATATTTCTAAATATAATATTTTTTAATATAAAATATTTATCCATTTATTACAATATTAAATATTTTCGATTGCGAATATAAAAAAATCTCTGTCTAAAGAATTACAAGTGATAAAAAAGGTTAACCTCAATTGATAATAGTTTTTAAAAACCACACAGGGCGATATAATTTAGCAAACTACATTGACAAAAGGTTATTAAACTAATATAAAGCTGTGTTACCATTTTAGACAATGTTTTATAGAATTGACCAGGCTTGTTAATTGATCCTTTTAAAAAGATCGAATCCCGATCACGATATTTTCAAAAAAAGAGGAAGGATCGCGATCCTTTTCTTATTTAAATTTCTGGAGGAAATTTCTAATCGATGCAAAATTAACTAATATAAATATAAATTAAATATGGTATAAATTTATTGCAATTGAATAATAATATAATAACAATTAGAATATATTTATTTATAATTAAAATTATCCTTTAATAAAAAATTTTCTAAGTTATTATCATTTAAACATCCACGTCTTTAATTAAACACATGTTTAGCTTTACTATACGCGTTCCACAGGAGCGCTTGATGGCAAAGGTGTTATATTCAATAATATTTTTTTTAATTAACACAAGTATTAAAAATATTCATTGAATCATCATTTGAATAAAAAAAAATTAATTGAACGAGCATTTGTGAAGAATTTTTCCCAAAGAAGGTATCTATTTTATCCATATATTCATTTGAAGCATCTACATGTGGTTGATCCTGCTTATTTCCCAAAGGGCAGTTGACATTTCACCAACAGATTTTATGGCAGATTAATATAAAGCCAATTTAGCTTAAATTTTGGGTGATTTATTGCTGCCAATATGTTACTGTCATAAATTAATTTATTATTAAATAAGTGTTCATTCATATAAATCAGGTATCTGCAAAACTTAGCCCTTATTAACATATCAATAAATATTTTATTAATTATTTATTCTTATTATATGCATATTGTTATGCTCTTCACAAATAAATTATAAAAAATTTATTAGAAGTTGAATATTTAATATGAACACAAATTGAAGATGCCAATTTAATTTATTAAATATAGTCAAAATCTAAAATAACATAAATAACTAAAACTTAAAAATATAAAATGAAAGACAAACTAAAAATTATAAAAAAAGGTTTTCCTTTTTTTTTCTTCTTGGTATTACATTTTTTATCTCTATATTTATTTATACCACTAAAATTTTCATACCATCGATATTATTTTATATAATTGTCCTTTAATTTTCTAAAATTTAACCTTTAGATTAACTTTACAATTTAAACATTTTATCTTTACAAAATTTATATTCAAATTTCTTTAAATTTATAATTAATTCAATATACGTATTCGACAAAATGTATCTTTATAAGAATTATTTACTTCTAAATGCCTTTTTGGTTTGAACAACTAATCTTTGAAGAAGATATTTTGTTCTTACATAAAGTTTACACTGATCATTGTATAGTTACTTCCATCCATTTTACATAAAGTAAAATACTTACATAAATTATGAAATGATAAAAGATTATCATTCTCACTTATATCTTATTTTCTAAATCAATAATGGAGGAAATTATTAAAACCTAGAATTTATTTATATTATATATAATATAATTTAATAAATAAAACTTGTAGTCTATAAATCTCGTTCTAGATAAAATTTAGGAAATTGTTAATAAAATATGGTGGAATGGAAGTTGATAAAATATGATGTAGATAGATATTTTTTTAAAAATTAATATTTTAATTTAATTTTCAAAATTTTTATTTTATTTATTGCTTTTTAGGTAAAAAATTAATTTTTAAAAAGATCGGGATCGAAAATTAAAAAAAAAAAGATCTAAATCACGATCCTCAATTTAAGTCAGGATTATAAATTCGGGAAAATTGACAAATTTAGGATCGAATCCAGGATCGGCGAACTTTTGATTCGATCCTTTGACAACTCTGGAATTGATTAATAAGGAAAAATTTTAGGCCTAGCCAAATCAATGATTATTAAAGAGGATAATATAAACGACTAATCCAAATCTATATGGGTTAATGATAGTTAGTAAGCAAAATTTTCTAAATACCAACCTAATTTGCTAAATACCGAGCAAAATTAATTAAAATCTAATTTTTTTTAACATAAATTATAACCGTATCACATGGTCAAGTCCGGTCTCTTATATATTATCCCCCCAAGGACGGAACCACCAAGTTGAAATGAGAAAAAAAGATGATCTTTGGGATTCGGACCCAGAACCATCGAATGGTAATCGACGCTCTAGAAAAATCCTTATTTTGCAAATATATATTATAAATAAATTTGGTAGTACTTATCCAATTGAAAAATAAACAAAATACGAATGATAGGTACAACCTTGGGGCAGTAACAATCATTAATCGACTATATGGTGGTTAGACCTAGATGATATTATGAAGCTAGATAATTAATCGAGAAAATTATTGTAAGAAATTAAATTTCTAATAGATTATCCATTTTTAATGATATATAACCGACTAGACAGTTATTGCTCATTTAGATTATGCAATATATGCTCTCAGCAGCAGGAGTAATAATCTTAAATTGCATTGTCATACAAATAATAGATGCTGGTTAATTTATAGTCATAACCATGACGCTCACGATGTAACTCATATCAGAATTTATTATGTTAGATAAATTGATAAAACAAAAGCACTAAGAATCTTTAGAAAAAATTGTGCAAATATATTGAAGCCTTGAGTTATTTACACGGTAAGTATGGCATATTAGAAATGAATTATTTAGTAGCTAGAAAATGAGGACCAGAGTGATATGATAAAAGCAATTAAGATCCTATATATTATTGTATTGTCAATGTATTCAAATATTTATAATTATTTTTTTGTAGAAACAGGCGGTCATATCAAAAGTAAGTATTTACTGTTGGTTTCTGATTTTTCCCTATATCAAAAATAAATTTTTTATAAGTACCATGTCTTTTAGCTAATTTTGGATAATGATAAAAAAAATTTATAAAATAAATATTAAACTATATATTTACTCACAGATACTAACGCCTAAAATTGCGTTTCATGATATAAATTATAAGGTTAAATTATTTGATAAAATAGGTTCTCTACGCCGGTTAGTTATTGTTGCATATTCATTTATAAAGTGATCCATAAAAATGTTATTATAGTATTTTTTCTATGCTCAATAGAGCCAACGAATTTAATTTTTCCAGGCCCATTGTCGATCGAATATATGTTTTTACCCGTTTTAATGCTGAAAACGATCATCTTTCACATGAGGATGAATTAAAAGATTAATTAGCGCAATTTTAAAGCAATTATGTATACAAAATATATCGATGGGTACGATTTTTATCAAATCTATTATTTATTTACACATAGATTTGCATTTTTTATTACAGGTTAAAATATAAACCTTTAATATTGCCTATTCTTCCATTGGGTCAATAAGATTATAATGTTTAGATAAATGATTTAATGATATCACTATTTAAAAAAAAAGGGGGGGGGGGAGGAATGCAAAACACTTTTAGCTATTAATATATCTGTGTTTTCTTGATAAAATCTTTGTTTTAATTCATTTATTATAATATCCAAAATTGGATAAAAGACATGACACTTATAAAAAGTTTTTGTTTGATCGGAATAATTAGGAGAAACAATAATATCTATTTAAATAGAATCATTTAAAATGGTCTAAGGCATTGGCGTAGCTACGGGGGGGGGGGGGGTTCGGGTTTGGACCCCCCCCCCAGAACAATTAATTTTTTTTTAGAATATTCGTTTAAAAGACTCAAAAGTGACTTTGTATCAAATAAATACCATGAATATTTATATTTTTCTGGTTTTGATGTTTGTGGAAGGATATTATTACTTTTATATATATATATAAATTATTCTGTATATTATTTTAAAGTCATTGATAATAATCTATTAATTTTAATAATATATTATTGATGCATTTTTAAAAAAATATTTATTATAAATTATCCAAGATATGGTTCGAAAATAATAATATGAAATAAAAAAGTGCATAATCTACCCCCCCCCCTCAGAGCAATTTTTTTAGATTATTCGTTCAAAAGATTCAAAAAAAGTGACTTTATATCAAATAAATACCATGAATATTTATATTTTTCTGGTTTTGATGTTTGTGGAAGGATATTATAACTTTTATATATATAAAAATTATTCTGTATATTATTTTAAAGTCATTGATAATAATCTAATAAATTATAATAATATATTATTTATGCATATTTAAAAAAATATTTATTATAATTTATCGAAGATATGGTTCGAAAATAATAATATGAAATAAAATAGTGCATAATCTACTTTCTCATGATTTTGAGGTTAAAAAATATTTAATCCAGTGTACTAATTAATATCTTATGCATTATAGGCTCTATTGAAAATAATAAGGATGATGTAAATACACCAGGTCAAAATATCATTTAATATAAAAAATATTTAAAATTAATAGCTAACTATTTTTATTTTAGAATTTAAAATTAAACACCTAGTCATAGTTTTAACTAAATTAAAATTGCCAGTACAAACCACTTTGGGTAATTTATTATTTTAAATAATTTTGGCTAACCAAAATATTTTGACATTTATAAGATATACCCAAACGTAGGAGGGAAGAAAATGATCTTGATACACTCATTTATATACCCAAAGACCATATAAAATCACTACCTAGTACAAGTTATATAATCTATTAAGATTTAAATATTTTTTATTATAGATTTAGATATATCAAGTATTACATTTAATAAAAATGATGATAGTCAACAAAATGAACACACCAAATCACTAATTAATATAGAAAATCAAATGATGAACTTGATATCATAAGCAACAATTTACCACTCACCTCAGGTATTTTATGAACTTATATGACCTTATTTAAATGTATTCATTTAAATTTTAGAAATACCTAGATATTCTATAAAAAATTATGATAAAAATAAGCTAAATACACTTGATCACTTCAAATCTCTACCTAGTAAAAGTAATGTTAACTATTACCTTTAAATATTTATATCATAATTTTAGGTATATCAAGTATCACATTAAAGAAGAATGATAGTAGTCAACAAAATATTATAGGCTGTATCAATTTAGAATTTAAAGGTTATCTAATATGTTGTTTTATTTTAATTTATTTTTATAGGAATATCTCAATTAATATTCACACCAAGGGGTAAAAAAAATAGTGATAACAAACAAAAAAATACACTAAGTCACAACAAATCACTATCTAATAAATGTAATGTAATCAATTACTTATTAATAGTTACATTAAAATTTTAGATATATCTAAAAAATCTAGGGAGAATTTAAATGGAAATGAAGTTCCACTCATGTCAGGTATTAGTCTTATTTAAATTATATTTATTTAAAATCTTAGCAATTCCCACATACTCCAGAAAACTAAAGAATAATAGACAACCAATTATACTAGATCATTTAGAACCATCACCTACTACAAGTGATATAGTCTATTACTTTATACTTATAATAATCAAAAGTTGGTTCCAAAGCTAACATGTCATCTATGATTATTAGCCTAGGTTTCTCAATATTAATTTTAAACATCTACAGTGAAGAGGGGGGATATTTTTCACCAGATGTTAAAACAAAATAAAAGGATACTATTATATTTTTATTTTAATCATACTTAAACATTAATCTATGTTAAAAAAATTATAAACAACTTTTTTTAAAAAAAAAACTTTTTAAAAAAAACATATATTTTCACATATCATTTACGTAATTTAATATTTTTGTATATTTAATTTAATATTAATTAATTTTTCAATCTTATAATGTTTAATATAGACCACATTCTTTATAATACATCTCCTTTACTCTCAAGTACTTCTGTAAATTATTCTTTGCCAATCTCAGATGGGAATTATATGGAAAATTATCAATCACATTCTAATATTTCTGCAAATAATAATTCTTTAGCAACTATTAATGAAAATATAAATCATTCTCAAATATCATCCATTCCTAAACCCAAAAGAACATACAATTGTTGGAACAAAGATAAAATTGAAATGGTAATGAAAATATTAGCAATGCCAGAGGAAGAACAGATGAAGGTTAAGGACATTGCTAAATTTGTTAATATGTCGAAGGCATCAATACATAAAATAAAACGGGATACATTCCCAGAAATTATTCGTGAGCCCCTAAAGGAATTCTCGCTTAAACAAAGGGGGAGAAAAATTAAAGACACAGCAAATATTGAAAGGCAAATTATGGATTTGCTAATCGACAATAATACCTTCACGGTGAAGGATATAATTGAGAATTTGCCCTCTGGTTCTCCAAAAACATCCGATGGTCCAAAAAAAGAGCTGGGAAAGAACCAGATCGCAGGAATACACCAGGAGCTATCAATATTTGACAGGTGTATTGCCGCAAATTGCTGAACATTTCCAGAGAAAGACTCTATTTTCTCAACGAAACAGGCATCAATTTTCATGTTGTACCTGTCTATGCTTGGGCACCACTCAACGTTAGACCATCAATAAAGGTGCCACCCTCAAAAGGGAAAAATGTAAGTGTACTTTGCACTATAGGAATTTGTGGAGTTATCCATTATAAAATCATCGAAGGATCATATAATGGTATGTTATTCCGAAATTCATTAATGGATATTATTAGTATATTACCACCAGATGCCATATTAGTTATGGACAATGCGTCAATACATAAAAGTCATCTAATTGATGACTATAAAGAGAGAATTGAATATCTTCCCCCATACTCACCACAATTAAACCCAATTGAAAATTTTTTCGGGGTTTTCAAAAACAAGTACAGGTCATTAATTCCCAGATCAAGTACAAGGGAACATATAATAAATAATATTAATCAAATAATGAATCAATTTATTCCATATGATTTTACAAATTTCTATAATCATATGCAACATTATTTGGAGCTGGGCTATCTGGACTACCTCTTGACTAAAGTAATCTAATTATATAATAAATTACGATTAACATTTTTTAATATTTATAGGTACTACTTAAGCAAGCAATTTATGACTATGAACTATCATTAAATATTTCATATTTTATTAATTAATATTCATGTATTAGTGTAATTACGAATATATTTCTTATTATATATAATTATATGTATTACATATACGAATTGAATAAAATATTAAATTAAAGTTATGTCTCAAATATGATAAAATAAAGTGAGAGAAAAAAACTATTTTCAGAAATAAAAGATTCTGACTAAGATCTTACAACTTAAATGAATAATTTATCATTATATTTAAAATTATTATACATAAAATATCGTTAACTAAGTAAAAGAAAATATGTGATGACAAAACTTTTTATATTTTTTTATAAAAATTTTTTTTTATGTAAGTGTGACATTTAAAAAAGTTGTTTAATATTTTTTTAACATAGATTAATGTTTAAGTATGATTAAAATAAAAATATAATAGTATCATTTTATTTTGTTTTAACATCTGGTAAAAAATATCCCCCCTTTCACTGTATCATATATTGGTAAAAAAATATTGCCAACACAATTTTGATTTTTTCACTTTGAAGGATATCGACTTAAATTTACAGTTTAAAAAAAACATTTATTTTTTGATCTATATTTTTAATGTGTTTACTAATTATAAAATATATCATTTATAATTAAGGCAATATAATATTTATAATAAAGCAATTTATATGTATAATACTAATATTTATAATTAAGGCAATATAATATTTATAATTAAAGCAATATAATATTTATAATTAAAGCTATATAATATTTATAATTAAAGCAATATAATATTTATAATTAAATCAATATAATATTTAAATTTTAAATAATCGCTTTTTATTTGTAAATAACTTCTAAAAGTATAATAAAATGAAACGTATATCAATAAAATTGTGTCAATGTGTTATTTTAATTAAAATTAGTGGTTAATGGCTCAATTTTAGCCGATATGGCTAACTCAATATATTAGCCAGAAAATTTTGCTCATGGAGATACAAGTTTTATATTATTCAAGAAATCTCTAGGCTTGAACAATATTTTTTGGCAAAAATATTGAGTTAGCTGTTTATAAAAATCAGCTCAAGTCGAGCCGTTTAACAACACTAATTAAAATAATTAATAATTCTAGGACTTTTATATTATAAGAAAAACCAATATGATTTTTAAGATAAACCCGGCCGAAGGCCGGGCAAAAGGGCCGAAGGCCCGTTAAAGGGGGTCTGAGGGGCGAAGCCCCCGAGGCTTTTATATGTGAACCCCCTCTAAGGAAAATTCCTAGCTACGCCACTGGTCTAAGGTATATTTGTTCTTTTATTTCTTATTTTTATATTATATTAATTGCAAAATTAATTTGCTTAGGTAAATAATGAAGATAAATACGAATTATTTCTTGAGAAAGAAATGATAAGAGACTCAATAAGAGCCAATGCTGTTGATATGTCTGAATCTGATTTTTGCAAAAATAAATACACATAATTGTATATATAAAATTCCCTTTGCTTTCACCATATCACCATGCTCTATATTTCATAGATAAGAAATAATTGCAAGGAAAGTCATTTTTACTGCCTCTATCGTTCTAAAAAGGAATCCCCAACGTGTTGAACTCAAGGCATCAATATTTTTCGATTTTGACTAGTGTTATTAAATGGCTCCATTTGAGCCGATTTTTAAAAATGGCTAACACAAGATTTTGGCCAGAAAAATAATACCAAAGCTTTGAGATTTAGCTAATAAATGTATAAACCTTTGTGCCATCTATGAGAAAAATCTTCAGACTTAAGTTATTTTCTTATAGATAAAATATTGAGTCGGTCGTTTTTAAAAATCGGCTCAAATCGAACCGTTTAACAACACTAATTTTAACCCTAATTTTAATTTATAATCAATAAATTTATTATGATGGATAACCGATATTGAGAAAAAAGCATTAATACCTTCTAATACATTGAAAAAACTACCTAGACTGAGGTACTGATTTGCAAGCAGAGATCAATACAGGTTGAGTATATGCGAATAGCAGGGCACTTATATATCCATTTTATGATTTTTGCGATATCTTTCCTGGACTCCTGAAAGATGAACTTTCATAACACTTGCACCATCATATGCTTGAGCAACGCAAATTGCATTTAATTGTTGTTTAAGGTTGTTATTAGTGTCTATGTTAGGGTGCATTCACAGTAAGCGACAGCGACACGACAAAATACAAATATATGCAATTACCTATGACTATTCATAGTGAGCTTTAGCGACGCGACACGACATTCCCGCCATATCTGTTGCATAAACAAAGAAATCAAATTTTTGTTATTTTCAAAGCGACATTACTACAATATGGCCTAAATAGCAAATTTGCAAATGAATTTTTGAAATGCTTTTATATTAATAATGTTATATATGTATATATAATTTTAGAATATAAATAAATTATGTTATATATTTTTAATGATTTTTTTATAATTAATAATTAAAGAAAATTATTTTTAATGATTTTTTTATAATTAATAATTAAAGAAAATTTATATTAACGGCAATAAATTTTTTCGAGCAATGTAATATTTTACAACTTTATATGATTTTTGAGCACATTTTTTGAAATTAAAAATCAAATTTTACAGGAAATGTATTGCATAATGTTTGGAATACCTACCCCAACACTAAAAATTCCAGACAATTTTGCAAATTTATAATCTCCATAAATTTTTTATATAAATTATAAATGATTCAAAGGAAGATAGATATAATAAGCATGCTGGAATTCATTTCTAGTAAGATCAGATGTTTACAATTTAAAATCAAATATGATTTAAAGTTGATTAAATAACAGATTGCTGGAAAAAAAGCAGATTACTGCTAACTTATATGCTCAACGTCTACATAACAGGATTTTTACTGGATTCAAACCCCCCTCAAAAACCACCCCCTAATGCAGCGATATTCCCACATTATCAATAACATCTTTTTATTTATAATTGTACTCCCTTCATAAATTTTTAAAAAATAACTTAATATATTAATGCTCTACTACCAAATATCAAATTGTGAATCTAAAACAGTCACTAGAACTTGAATTCAATTAATAACCCCCTCATTTACAATGAATGCATTATTATTAAATTGTTTGAAATGAATATAAGTTTACTGATAGAATGCCTATCCCCTTTTAAATTACATTTAAAGGGATGCCATAGGGGCGTCGCTAGCCCTTACAATCTCAGGGGGCTCAACTAAAAATAATTTTATGGGGGGCTTCGCCCCCCCCCCCATACCCCATAATTTGCGGCCGGGTTTTATATAAATAAATACTTTTTTAAAATTTGTTAACTCTGAACAATTATTCTGAATTTCATATTTTGTCATTTATTATTTATGCATGCAAAATAAACTGGCATATAAATAATTAAAACAATACAAGACATTTCTAAAAATAATATTTTTTAATACAAAATCTATTTATTACAGTATAAATTTTCGATTGCTGATATAAAAAAAATTTGCGTCTAAAGAATTATAAGTGATAAAAAATATTAATTAATTCATACATATGCCTCAATTGATAATAGTTTTTAAAAACCACATAATGCAATAATATAATTCTTAGCAACTTACATTGACAAAAGGTTATCAAACTAATATAACTTACCATTTTCTCCATTTATAGAATGGACTAATTAGGTAAAATTTATAGGCCTAAACCAAATCAACAATTCTTGAATAAGAGAGTATAAACGACCAATCCAAATCATAAAACTATTAAGTGGTTAGAGCTTCCATTTAGATGGCATGATGGAAGTTAGATAAGTAATCGAGAAAATTATCGTGAGTTATTAAATTTCTAAAAGATTATCTTCCATTTTAAATGATATATAAACGACTACACAGTTGACCATTATTGTTTATCTAAAATATGCAATCATATGCTCTCAGCCGTTTTTGTAATAATCTTAAATTACATAGAAACACAAATAATATATTGAATCATGACACTCACGATGTAAACTTATATCAGAATTTATTATGTTGGATAAATTGATAAAATAAAAACACTAAAAATATTTGGAAGAAATACTATTGCATATATATTGAAGCCTGGAGTTATTTACACGGCAATGCCATATTAAAAATGAATTATTTTCTAACTATAAAATAAGGACCAGAATGATATGTTAAACAATTAAGATTTTATATATTGTCTCACCACCTTGGTATATTATATCTTAAAATAATAGAATATTATCAAAAATATACTTGTATTAAAAATTTAACTCGAAACTGTTTTTCAAAAAAGAAAAATATAGCTTTCCTAAAACACGTAAAAAAGAGAAGAAAAGATATCAAATTTATTACATCTATTGCAGGATGAATAATAATCTGTTTAATTTTTAAAATTATTACAACTATATAGATGGCGTTAAATATTTGGGTGCAAATTATTACCATATTTATTATCAAAGCAATTCATTAGTAAAATTTATTATAATATTAACTGTAATATATTATATAACTGTAAAATACGTCTATAAAAGTGGCATTTTATCTAATATTTTATAACCAACTTTATATAATAGAAAATTATAAACTATATATCTATTTATTTAATTTTTATAAGGAAATCTCTTATACTTATATTTGGACATTGAAAATATTTTTAGGAATAGGTATGATTATTAAATTTCATAATAAATATACAGTTGGTTAGTCATTTTGAACTCGGCTAATTACAATATTAAATTTGTAAATTTTCAAATAATATATGATTATATTTATTTAATTAGGGTTATATAATAACTTAAATAATAAAAGTCAATTAAACCTCAATTGTTAAAGCTAAATTAATATTTAGTGAGTTATTGATATTATATTTTTAATAAGGAATTTGATTGCAAGCTGACATAGTGAAAATATAATTTATATGTATTAATCTAATCTAATAGTTAAAATAGTATTCATTTAATAAAAATTTAAATAGACTTATAAATTTCTAAATAATAAAATTAAATCTATATATTACTTAATGGAATTATAAAAGAAATCATTCAGGGGGCTATCAAAAAAATATTTTTAGTTCAAAGGGATATTAAGGTGCCATTAAAAAAATTTTTTGCTTCAGGGGGCTCGAGCCCCTGCGCTCCCCCCCCCCTAGCGACGCCACATTATTCAGAAATAATTTTCAATTAGAAAATAATATCTATGATTGTGTATGATATAGACTTGGTCAATTATTAGCAATATAATTGTATAATACGTCTATAATAAATGTATAAATTTATATAGCAATACATTTGCCTATATTATCTAAATATTTATTATATAACCTCCCAATAAATTTATCCTACCCCTAACTTACCCTCTTTAAATGCTGACTCCTTACCCCCACCCTTCTCAAAAAAATGGATGCAAACTGTTTATACCCCCCCCCCCGTTCACGTAGACCATAGACGTAGCCAGGATTTTCATAAGGGGGGGGGGAAATTAAAAAATTACTGGGGGCTTCGCCCTCAGACCCTCTTTTGGGCAGGCCTTCAGCCCGCTTTTCCCCGGTCTTCGGCCGCGTTACTTTAGTCTATATATAGTCATAAATATTTTTACAAATTTTAATATAAGCCTGGAACAAATATGAAATATATTTTTATTAGTTTATATGAAATATAGTTTTATTAGTTTATATGAAATATATTTTTATTAGTTTATATGAAATATATTTTTATTAGTTTATATGAAATATATTTTTATTAGTTTATATGAAATATATTTTTATTAGTTTATATAAAATAAAATATAATAAATTACTTGTATTGTATATACCTTAATATAAAAGCATGGTAATAATTTATTCCAAACAATTATAAGTAATTTATTTATAAAAAGTAAGTAGACATATAGTTGATTTTACTCTATTATATAGAATTAGTTATAAAATACTAGGTAAAATTTCACTTTTACAGACATATTTGACAGTTAAAAAATATATTACAATTAATAATTTAACAAATTTTACTAATCAATGCTCTTGATATTAAATATGTAACAATTTGCATTCAATTATTTAACGCCATCTATTTATTTTAAAACTAATGATATTTAAATTTAATCTTCATATTATTTATCCCACAATGTCTTTAAAAGATATTTTCTGATGTCCTTATCAATATTTTATAGTTTTCTGTAAAATATATAATTCGCTATATTGGTAAAAATTACTTGATTGTCATTTGATAATTAGATATACTGTAAATCTACGACATATAATATTCCACTGTTTGTATTGTGCTTTAATATTTTTTTAATTTATGATTTAATTTTATCAATAGTTTTATAATTATATTTTACTTTTATTAAGATAAATAAATTAAAATTACTCACTTTATAAAAAATTATATTTGATATATTATATTATTTAGTAATTTTATGGATCTATTATTAATAATTATAATACATTTCACTTCTGTCTTAAGACTTATCTTTGGCTTATATTCCATTTATTAAAAGACATTTTTGGTTCATTTTATATATTTATAAATATATTTTCCCCAAAATCTATAAATTATGATGAATAGTTTTATAAAAAAATATCAACTTTTACATTCTTTCTTTTAAATTATTATTTAAGATATATGCATACATATTTGAGGGTCAGGGAGTGGGGGGAGGACTAAGGGGGATATCATTTATTAGCTAAAAATGATATTTACCAAAAGTGATAAATTTCTGAAGGGGGGGGGAATTTCCCCTTGCCTCTCCCCCCCTGGCTACGCCTATGACGTAGACGTTCTATGTGCTTATAATTATTTGTATTTTTTATATAGTTTTGCATTTTGAATATATAAAGTTATAATATATTATTATAAAAATTGTTTATAATTTTATAATTCATTAAACAATTAATTATTTTTATATTATGTTTTGAAAAATCTTATATCTTGCAATTTATTTTATATTCGATCTAAATAAATAAAAAAAAATCCATAAATACATGAAATATTTGACGTTAAAAGTTCCTTACGATGTTTTTATTATTATGAAATTGGGCGTTGAACAGTCTAAGTTAATATAAGTCTATGGTTTTGCTGAACACATGCTAAGATTATTCATTCATACATTATTTTAAAAAATGAAAAAAAAGAAAGCAAAAAAAATAAGTAGAAAAAGTAATTTCTTCCCAAATGACCACAAATTATATTCTTCATGCATGTCTTTAAATAAATCGCAGTGTCCGCTATATGAATCTAATATAAAATATTCACTTTGTGATATCTTGATACATAATTTAGATATCATAATAGTTATTTAAACTTATATAAAAGAAAATTTTATTTTATAATAGATTGGTTTTAATCCTGGTGTTGTTTCATCAATTATAGGGCATCATTATGCCGGGAAAAATCATTTTTGTACATTAAAATAAAATTCAATATTTTTCTATCTTAATCAAGGGCATTGTTTATACCAAGCACATTTAATTCCAGAAAAATTGAATGCTACAGATGAATTGAAAGCTTTATCATATGGTATTGGATTTACTAATATTGTTCAAAGAACTACAATTACTAGTGGAAATCTAACTAAGTTTTATAAAATAATATAATTATAAATAAATATATTTTAGAGATGAATTAAAAAGTGGTGCAAAGTTATTGTTAGAAAAAATTATATTTTATAAACCAAAAATAGCAGTTTTTAATGGAATAGGTAAATAATCTAAAAAATTCTTAAGATAAATATTATTTAAAAATGAATATTCATATATACAGGAATATACAAAAGTTTTAGTCAAAAAAAAGCTTTTAATTTGGGTAAGCAACCAGAAATTGTAGGAAATACAAGTGTAAGTTTTAATTTAAAATTATTAGAATACCCCAATGATATCTATGATAAAACCATAAAGTCATCATATTAGTCTGTTTATATGATAGAGATAGAGAAATTTATATAGAAGAATAAGTTTAGACCTAGTCCTAAGACAAATATTCATTGTTGATATGAGGGCCTTTATTTATTTTAAATGCTAGAAAACTAATATTTTACAAAACTTTCTCATTTTTATGGTGGTACATAATTTTATAAAATAAACAGTAAAGGTGTTAGATCTGGTATTAGCTCAGCTCCAGATCTTTTGGTTCTTTTAAAATAGCTGGTTCCTAATTGATACTTAACAAATATTTATTAACAAAATAGTTTATGATATAAAAATAATAATAAATATTAAAAAAAATTATATTTTGTTAAAAAATTTATTATGAGATTAACAATTTACTAATGGGGCAGACAACAATAATAATATTTTAATGGTTTACATTACCAATGCAAAATTATTTTGTGGACAACAACTAAAAACATTTATAGATTGGATTAAGCATTCCATAATCAAATGACTTTTAACATCAAGGTAAGCTAAAATTTAGTTAAATAGTGAAAGTTAGTTAATAAGCTATAGCCATGGGGGGGGATCAAAAAATTCTGCCCATAATCATGGCCTCCAAGTTTTTTTTGGCCCCTGAAATAATCTCCAAAAATATTTCCAGCCAAAAAATTTTTAAAAATAAAAGTTTTAACATTTACATTTGCTCATTAACCACATTATGAAATAATAAATGATATTTTTATTTATTTCTTTAGTTATCTTTTCGCAACAACTGAGGAAGATGAAATTATAATTTATATTCAGGACTTTTTATCGCAAAGCTTTCATTCACCTGCATTTTAGCTACTCGATACATTTTTTGTGAAAATCATAAGAAAATTTAATAATAATCAATTAAAAGGTTTTTCTGTTAAAAGTATTAAAATTTGTATTTTAAAACGATATAATGATTTCCAAATTGTTCAATACAATATAATAAATGATGATGCTAATGATTTTTGGTCTAAATGGGGGATCAAAAAAAAAATTAATAGGTGATTGCTTCAATCATGTGCATCTAGTTAATAATTTGAGTAAAAATATACCTGAAATTTTTTATTAGAAAACATATTTTAGGTATTTTAACATATTCTCTAAATATACAAGCCATAAACATAAGAGACTTTTAGACAGGAGATGGACTGATCATTCGGAAATACCTTATTTCATTTATGAGGATTTTAGGCTATTGATGAAGTATTATTTTACTTTCCTAATAAAACTCTTAACTCGGAGTTTCTAGTAATGATTCAGTCGAAGCTATTGATCTTTTGTTCAAAATGCATTATCAATTACATTATATTAGATATTGTAATTTAAGAAATAAGTAACAATTGATCTATTAAATACTATATTTTTAGCCGTATTGATTTATTTTGCTGAGCGATTTTTATAAAGATTCACTGCCGATGATTACACTTTATATCTTGTTTCAATAAATTGTCACCCTTTGACCCAAGTTATTGTATCACTGATAAAATGACCCCAATTTCTTCCTTATTAAAACTTAATAAACATATCACAAAACAAAAATCGCAAAGGGATTATTAATGGCTGAAGTAGCGGAAAGAAATTTTGAAAATGTTAATATTAAAAAAGTATTATATCTTTAAAGAATTTTATAAATGTTATTCAGCAGCTTATCATTGGGGTATCAGCAGCTACTTATGGCGCCCCATTCTCTACACTCAAGAGGGTTTTATATAGCACCAGAGACTCAATGAAGGGTGAATAAAAACAAAATTTTTGCTAATGGCTTATAGAAAAAAAATAACCTAAAACTTAATTGAAACAAAAATCGTTGTAATATTATAATATTAATTTGAATGTTCATAATTGTTTGCATTTACAAATTTTTAATAAAAGTGTTGTGATTTTCTTATCTTATCTTATCTAGCACGTTGGTCATGGACCTGTCCAAAATGAGCGAACGTTAATTACTATAGAGGCCCTATCCACCATAATAATTATGCCTATTTTTTTCCTCAAGGATACCAACAAACCTTGTAACCCAGATATAATTATTAAAGGTGTGGAACTCACCCAATCCACTAATAATATTAGCATAAGGGATAGTTATGAGTATTTTTGAGAAAGCGAGAACGGAAAAAAAGAGGTACTGTATCATCCAATACAAATTATTAGTTTTTTTATTATTATAAAAATTATTTTTTATTGTTGATCCTTGAGCAAGGATCTTGTGATAATTGAATATACTTTTCAGAGAAATATTTATTTTGCTTATTATAATTTATATTTTGTGGTTTAGGTAAATTTATTATATATTGTTCAATTTGGATAGTTATTCATAGGAAAATTATTAGAATTATTATTTATAGACGCTTTTTGTTTGTAGTTTATATAAAGAATGATAATTTGTTTGAAAGGACTTTTTAAATTTTGTAAAATTTTTTATATATAAATTTTTATTTAAATTTTAACTTTTTAATTTTTTTAAAATTTTTCTATTATAACTTTGTAAATAAAATATTTTTGTAACTTATTTAAATTAGTTTATTACATTTTAATCAGGGCTGAGAACCCAAGCCATACTCTCCCGAACCCTTAATTTTGTTGAACCCAAACCTGAACCATTTATTTAGATTTAGGCGTCAGGATTCCAAGCTTCTTTAACAAAAAAATTTTTTTTGGAAGTCTTAATGACGATATTTTAGAAGATATTATGATAATTCGCTTTCCTAAATAAAATTTTTAAAATAGAAATATAATATTATTTTTTAAATTGTATTGCGGTATTATAGTAATATATTATAATTATGATAATAAATTATTTTTATGTTAATGCTAATTAAAATGAATTTTTTTTTAAATAAATGATGTTTCTGTTATTTTAACTAATTTTCATAAGTCATTATTTTTCTGGTCTCCGAACCCTGAACCCGAACTTCTGAACTCAAACTCGAACCCATTATTTTTAGAAGGAGGGTTCACAGTCATGATTTTAATTCTTTTGATATTAAATATTTTTCCTTTCCATTTGGCCACAGTTTAGTTATAAAACAAATAGCAAAATTATTTATATGAACATCTGACTATTTGTTTTATTTAAAAAAAATATTGGCCACCACAAATAAACAGTTGGCCCTTCCAATTAAATATACTAAACACGTTTATCCGAAATAATTATATTGTTTTGCTTTTGAGAGTTCCAGTTCAAATATATGGTTTATATTTTATTAATTAAAATAAAAATCACTTGATAATGCATAAAAAAATATCAGAAATAGATTAATCTTGAAACACTATCATATTTAATTTGTAAAATTTATTTTAAATATCAAATAATCGTAATTAATTAGCCATTAATTATTAATTATTTTGTTTTATTTATTGAAAAATTATTTTACATAGAATTTCTCTAAGACCAAGTTTTTACTTCTACACCTTATGATAATCATTTATCACCCTATTGATCTAAGCCCTATGATATAATACATTATGGATCTATTGATGACTATTTTAAGCCAGGTTTGGTTAAAAAGTTGCTCCTACTCTACCCAGCAATAATTGAATATATGTTAATCGAATAAATATATTACTATAAGCCCTAAATTTTTTTTATTAGAAATAATAAATTTTATACTCATGTTACCCTATGAAGGCTTTTAAATATTTTATTACATTTATCATTTTACTATTGCCATAGCTAGTTACCGTTTTATTGTAAAAGATTGGGTGTTTAATATTTTTTTAATTATAGGTTATCTATGTAATGCCTTCGTCAAGCGCTCGTTGCTCACAATTACCAAGATTACAGGACAAATTAAAGTATTTTGTAACTTTGAAAAAACTGTTAGATTATATCAAAGGTAAAATCTTACAAAATAATATATCATTGTTAATCTTCATAGATATAATATTTATTATTTATCAATTTCATTGTGCATTATATGGACGGAAAATATAATAACATTTCATATCTTAGAAATGAACTAAGAATCAGAATAATGGTTCGATTCCATTCCGGTTTTTAGTTTTAAATTTATAACCGGATTTTCCGCTTATCTTGAAGAAATTTATAACGTATCTTTCATTCCGATTTTTCTGTTTTTAATTTTTTTAAATAAATCTTAATAATTTTTTAAAAATTAAAGAAAATAAATTAAATTTTCTATACTATTTATTAAGTATTTAAATTTTTTATAATCCTTTAAAACAAATCAGAAACCTGACTGATTGCTCTGCCAGCCCGGGTGTTTAAATATTCTTTACAGCTCGGATTTTGAATTTTTTTTACCTCGGGCTTTAAATTATGTACTAATTGGCATTTCACAGTTAGTTTTAAGCTGATATCTTCTTCTCCGTTTAATGGCGATTTCCAGTTTAGCCACTTTCCCCTCTAATTTAACTTTTTCATTTTTGCCTCAATATTTGTAAGATTCATTTTTCTCATATCCGCTGCTATCACCTTAATCCTCGTCATCTTGGCCTTCCTCGAGGTCTTGTTCTACCTACTTCCATCAAGGTCCATCTCTTTACTCAGTCATCTTTTATCTTACATCTCACATGCACAAACCATTATCTATTTCTTCTCATTACCACTCCAATCACTTCTATTCTCATTCTTGCTCGCAATTCCTTGCTAATCTTTCTCACTCAGAGATAACTCACACATCCATCTAGTCATCTTCATCTTGGTCTTTCAAATTTGGCTTCGTGAGCAATTTTCATTGCCCATGTTTCGCCGCCTTAAAACCTCCTCACAAGTTAAAAAAATTGAGGCATTAAAAAAAAATTTAAACTAAAATTGAAAATGAAACAATTGTATTGATATAAATTTTCAAAATATAATAATTTAGAAATCCATGAAAAACAATCCCGCTTAATACGATTCTTAATTCATATTAAAAATAAATTTTCATTTCAAAATATAATTGTTTAGCAATTCTATGAAAAAAAAATCCAGCCGAAGATTATTAATTCATATTAAAAATTAATTTATTCATCAAAAGCATTATCGAAATCTAGAGGTTTAGGCAAATTTTGAGTTAGCCGTTTTAAAAAATCGGTTTAAAATGAGCCGTTTAATAATACTAGTTATTTAATTATAACAAATATAAAATATCTCTAAAAAATAAAATATTCTGGTGCCAGCCAAATGGCAAAAAAAGAAGAAAAAGTATTATATTGTATTATTTATTTTTTTCAAATAAGCAACTATTAATTTTAAATTTGTTTTACATAATTAGTTAATAATTATTGGAAATTCCGAATCCCCATGGAAATGGGAATTCGGAATATTTTTTAAATATTTTAAAAAAAAATAAAACGTGGGAATTCCGAATCCCACATGATTCCGTATCCCAATACGACCGTTATTTTTGACCTTTTTAATTTTTTCAAAGCAAATAGGTAAAAATATATATTGTAAACATGTTAAATTATAATTTCAGTGAAGATGTACTATAGAAAAGTTACAATAGTCATAATCATTATTTTTGAACTTATTTGAATTTTTTTAAAGCAAATAGGTAAAAATATAATTGTAAACATGTAAAATTAAAATTTCAGTAAAGGTGTACCATATAAAAGTGACAATTGTCATAATCGTTATTTTTGTTTTTCAAAGATAGGTAAAAATATATACTGTAAACATGTAAATTAAAATTTCAGTGAAGATATACAATGGAAAGTGACAATTGTCATAATCGTAATTTTAAAACATTTTTGACCTTGTTTAAAGCAAATAGGTAAAAATATATGTTGTAAATACGTTAAATAAAAATTTCAGTGAAGATGTATCATAGAAAATTGACAATTGTCATAATCGTTATTTTTTAACATTTTTCAATTTTTTTAAAGCAAATAGGTAAAAATATATATTTGTAAACTTGTTAAATTAAAATTTCAGTGAAGATGTGCGATAGAAAAATGACAATTGTCATAATCGTTATTTTTGAATTTTTTTAAAGCTAATAGGTAAAAATATATATTGTAAATTTGTTAATATTAAATCGATTAAAGTTTAAAAAACTATGATGAATTTTATTTGTAATTCTTTTGTATATATATACATTTATATAATTATCCAATTTAACTTCTAATAATATGCAATTTGATTAACCTCGATAATATAATATTACATGTCGGAAAGTTATAATATAATACACAAATAACGTCCTTTTAAAATATATAACGTGACCTTTTAAAATATATCTTACAATAATAAATATTCAAATGTAACAGTTAAATTAAATGAATCCTAGAAAAATACAATTAGTTTAGTTTACCCTATAAATCTTCATGAAGGTCATAATTCTCATATAAATACTTGTTCAAAATCGGAGTCTGATGTTAAAATGAGATGTTAATTAATTCTAAAATCTTAATCTTTTAATTAAATTTTTAAATTAATATTTAGAAATCTGCATAATCAAGTTTTCAAAATAATTTAAAATGTCGACGAGAAAGATGGATATTGAAGATAAATTTGTTACAGATAATATATACAAAGTTATTTCCTTATAAAATGATGATATGTAATTTCCTTTTCCTGATATCGCATAAATTATGATCTCGATAAAAATAAACACAAGGTATAAATTTCATTGTAAGAAGTGCAGTTAGGGTTTATCATCAAATAAAACTAGGAGGAAATATTTAAATTTTCATATTAATGTGTAGCCCAAACCTTAATCTTTAAAATAAATGTGAATCAAAGCTGTATATATAATAGTTTTTGAGCTAGATCTGTTTATGTGAAAGTTAATTTTCTGGCCATTAAATATTATTTAAGAATTATATTATAAATTAACATCTCATTTTATCATCAGACTCCGATTTTGAACAAGTATTTATATAAGAATGATGACCTTCATGAAGGTTCATGGGCAAACTAAACTAATTGTTCTAGGGTTCACCTACACTGAAATTTTAATATAACATGTTTAACAATTTAGGTTTCTACCCATTTGATTTAATAAGCTTAAAAATAATTATGACCATTGTAACTTTTCTATGGCACATTTTCATTGAAATTTTAATTAACATGTTTACAATTTATTAACCATTTTTTCAAAATAAATTACCAACATGGCTATTATCACTATGGTTCCTCATCACAGAAATATTGTTAACGTGTTTACAATATATATTTTTACCTATTTGCCTCAATAAATTCAAAAAAGTAAAATAATAATGATTATTAAAATTTCCACTTATCTATGGGTAATCTTCACTGGAATTTTAATTTAACAAGCTTACAAATATATATTTTTACCTATTTGCTTTAAAAAAATGGAAAAAAGTTCAAAAGATTACGACAATTGCCACTTTTCTATGGTACATCTTCACTGAAATTTTAATCTAACATGTTTACTATATATATTTTTATTTATTTGCTTTGAAAAATTTAAAAAAGTTAAAAATAACGATTATGACAATTGTCACTTTTCTATGATACATCTTCACTGAAATTTTTATTTAACATTTACAACATTCATTTTTACCTATTTGCTTTAAACAAGGTCAAAAATGTTTTAAAATTACGATTATGACAATACTTTTCTATTTCAAACATAAATTTCAATTTAATAACACAGGCTGAAATTAAAAAATAAACAAATACAAAAATTTTAAAAACTTTTTATTCACTCCAGTAGTGACTTCTACTAACGGGATTTTTCGCCTTCAACATTTTTGCTTTTAAAAAATCTTGCTAATAAAATACGACTTTTCACAAATGAACCAAGAGAATTCCTTTTTATTCGACAAAAAATTCAAATAGAAATTTTTAGACACAATTATGGTTCCTTTTTGGGGACTCAATTATAGAATTTTATTTTTAATTATAAATTTATAAATTATAATATTTTTAATTAGGTTTTATATTATTATAAATTTGTGTTTTTAATTTTATAGATAGAAATTTTTAATAACTAATTAGTTTTGTTTCCAAAGAATATTACAATAAATTTAATATAATTAAAAAAAAAAAATCTAGGGTTTAAATGAATAATTTTTTAAAAAATTCAACATTTTTGGCTCCTATCCTTTAATTTTTGAGTGTTTTACAGGAAGTGAAAAAAGCAAGTTTTGACGAGCTTTTCCACCTATAAAGTAAAAATATTTTTGTCCTGGATATTGTTATAATTTTGAAAATGACTAATCCATTAAAATGATATATTTTATACATTATAAAATTTTCTCTTATTTATAAATTTATTCAGGTTACAATATAGAAATTGATCCTAATGTTGATTTTATATTTCCAAATATAAATGCATAATACCTTCATCATGTTTCATATATATAACAAATCAAATGGAATTGTTGGTAACTAATAGAAATGATTATTTTTATTTTGTGACTAACATAAAATGGATAGTATCTAATTATAACATATGTTTTATATTTTTGTTACCAATGTTTGAAAAATCCATTGCACAATTTATTTCTAATATATTTATGCAATATGATCAAATACGAGGTATAATCAATTATTTTCTTTATATATATATTATAAATTGTATTTATTTATTATACTGAATAAATAAATATAATTAAATGAATTGACCTCAAGGGTAATAATCTATTTAGTAAAACTAATATTGAGGTATTTTGATAAAAATGCTAACATTTTAAATATTTATATCCAAAATTAAGGTAAAACTATTGAACAGATAAAAATTAGTTATTGGGATATGGTTGTTATTACAGCTGCTGATCATATTCAGAAGTTATATTTTGAAAATGTTATTAAATACAAACAATCTTTAAAAGTATTACCAGATATACCAATTTATGTATTCTCGGATGGAGAATCTATAAAAATAGGTATTGAACTTGTGAATTTAAATAAATTTATATAAAATATAATTTTAAAGGAACAGGTCTTGCTACTTTAAAAGCTATTTTTAAACTTGCAAATATTTACAATCTTGGTCAAGTATTAAGGTCTAAAATTTTAATGATTCACTCAGGGGGTTACAGTCAAAGGTTGCCACATTATTCTTTAATAGGAAAAATTTTTATGCCTTTAACAATAGAAAATTATGAACATGATAGCCACAAAAATTATCAATATGACTTATTAGATTTTAAATTAGCAATATTTATACCTCTGATTCCATTCATGTTTTCAAATTTGAGCAATAAAGGGGGTATTATGATAACATGTGCAGATGATATTCAAGTTTATCAATTAAATTCCTTATCAATTACAACTGAAAATAAAAATCCTATTGCATATGATATTCTATGTTTAGCTCACCCTTCATCTATCCAAATTGGTATGAAACATGGTGTTTTTGCTCTAAAATCTTTAAGAACTTTTTTTCTCAATCATGATGCTATAATTGAGAAAAATGAAATATATAAAATCTTGCAAAAGCCTTCCAAATTTGATATGATGAAAGAACATGCCATATTATTTTACAATAATTCTATAAATAGTCTTGAAATTAAACATGAGGGTTACAGTAATAATGAATATTCTACATCAAACACATTGAATGAAATTGTTTTTACAGATAGTAGTTTTGTGATTGGGCCACAGATTGTATCATCATTATATAATTTAGTTTTGAAGGAAAAAGATTTTTCACAAGCAATCATGGATCAAAATGAAGAAATTGATTGTTATGTAGATTTTTTGCAATCAAACTTTGCTATTAAATTTGATTCCTTATTGTATTCAACTACGAAAACACTGAAGATTAAACTTCATGAAATATTTAAAGAGTGTGACATTAAAATTTTTGTTTTAATGAAGTCAAAATTTTTCCATTTGGGGACTTTACCCGAAATTTTAGATGCTTATTGTTTAACTCCAATCATTTTATCTCATAGTATAAAGGATAATTTGCCAGTGTTTCCTTATTTAAATATACACCTAGCAAATGCCCTTCATTTTAAACCAATTGTTAATTGTTATATTGAATCCTCTTCTGGTCAAAATATATTTCATTCGATTCCTGATCTTGACATTAATATTAAACGAGTGGACTCCTCAAGAAGTATTAATAACTCTCTGATATTAGGCTGGGACTGCCTTGAATTTGACCTAGCCATAGATTCGCCACGATACATTATAGAGTTTTGCTCTTTATTTTTTTTTGATAAACTTAATGTAAGTATAAAAGCTGAAAAAATATTCAAATTGAATGGTGATAATATCCTAAGCCACGTTGAATTTAATGTAACCGATTTATTAACTCATGCAATATCTGCTCAAGGTAGCTCCTTTATACCCACTATTTTCGATATTCCTCCTTCAACTTTGTGGTTTACTTACCCCGTGGATAAATCCATTTTTAAAGGAGATGCCACACTTTTAAGCGAGAATCAAGAGATTGGATATGTCACGTTTTGTTTTGGAATTGAGGACGATATAAAAATGACTTCTAAATTCATTCGGTTGTTAGATTACAGCATAAGTTACCTAAAGTACTTGGGCAAATTTTTTTATACATTCCTTGACAATACTGAAACTCCAACTAGAGCCAATATAACACTTTGGGATTTAAAGATATTTCCCATTTGTAAGAATCCTACATTCTCATTCATTAAAACCTACAATCTGGTCATTTCTTTTCTGAAAGAAATTGATATCACACATCTTAACCGCCAAGACCTGAAATCGCGATTAAAGAGAGCATCTACTTATTTATCCGCGAGCGATGCAGGATTAAGTAACAGCGAGATGTTGGTTTCTATGAATGATATTTGTAAGAATAAGCATGCAACGCCATTCTTATCAAATTATCGGAATTCGTTGCTCCAAAATATTAGACAGTATTTAAAGTCGTAAATATATCCCTAAAAATCAAATGACTCTTTTCAATATTAGAAAAATATCATTACATTATATATATTCACAATACTCTAATTCATTCACTCCAATTAGACGCCTAGTTTAACAAAGTATATAATAACCAAAAATATTCGGATTCGTTTATTTTCTTTCCCTATGAGATTCTATAATCATAATTTATTTGTAAATTCAATTGTAGTATGGACAAAGTTTAAAATGAAATATTATAGTAAATTTAATATTACGTTTTACATATTTTTCTAATCAAAAAAAATGAAATACGAATTTATAAATAAAATTATTTTATTAAAAAAAAGTTTTTTAAAAAAAAATGAGTCTTATGGGACTAGAGATCTACACTCTCCCATTTTATATTTCTTCAAAAAAATATATATTAAATTATAATCAATAGGCGAAATATTATAATATTTAAAAAATATGTTTTTTATTAAAAAAAAGAAGAACCTTAATTTAATCATTATATTATGTCTGTTTATAAATTAAATTTACTATCATAATGTTTTCATTGGTTCTATAAGCTACATAGTCGTTCAGGTCATATTGATCCTTTGTATTGTACGATTAGCGTTTACTGTTCATGAGCAGGAAAAGCACTTTCTCAAAAAAAATGAATTTGATTTCATTTTTCATAAAAACAAAGGGTTATTAAATTAAAAAGTATATTATATAAATTTAAAAAAAATTCTTCAAGAAGTTTAAAAATAATGCCACTATGTCCCAAATACCATTATTGTATAATTCAATATATAAGATAAGAAAATATATATAGATGTGCATATTTCACAAATCATTTTTTTTTAATTCAGTGGAGGAAAAAATCTAAAAACAAAAATAGCTAAAGATTATAAAACAAGCCATTGTAAGGATGGTTCTCTTTTTAACGCGGTCATATTTTGCAAAAATTGAAAAGTTAAAAAAAAATATTCATTTTTATTGCACTTTAATTTTAAAAAAAATTATAAATAAGTTCGTAATAATTGTGACTCGATGTAAATTGGAATGGTGATATTAATTTGGAATAATTTATAATATTTTTCTTTCAGGAATTTAGGCGAAGTCCTTGAATTCTATATTTTTTTTATTTTTTTTTATAAAAAAATATAAAATGCTTTAAGCTGGAAAAATCTAGAATTATTAGGTTAAATATAAATATTAATAAGCCTGTTATTTCAAATTTTATAGGTGTTTCAAAATTTATAAGTGTTGAAATTTTATTAAATTAATTATTCAGTAAAGCTTATTAATCTACACCATGAAATGTATTCGATAAAACTACTTTATTTTTGAATGTTAAGAAATAAGGTTTTCAAATGATATTGCAAAATCCGCATGATTATTTGATGTATAAATGACCAAGCTTCGAATAGATTTATTAACTCATATTTTGCCATATGTTTAGGTTCCACTATTCGTCATAAGCCAATAATCAGATTTTGGTAGTTCTAACTTTTCTTTTATAACATACCAATTCACTAATGATAAAATTATCTAAGAAGGTTATGATAATCGATATCAGTCCATGTCACAGAAGTTAATGATCACTATCAGAGATAAAATAGGCCAACCATAGATGATAATATAGAAAGCTTTAATCAAAATTTTGTTATTATGACAAACTTTATATGATAAATCATGTTGTAAGATCGTTGATCCAAACTGTATTCATAGAGAACGTCGACCCTTTTACTTTTTGTAAAAGAAGATTATTTAAGGGTCAGGTTTTATAGAACACGCCACGTTATTAAAACTACATTTAATAGGTTCACGACTGATATTTATTTTTGCATAATTAATGTTTGAAACATAAAACGATTTTACGATATCAAAAACTAGGATCGAGTTAGAAAAAAGAACATTTTCACGCTATGTTACTGTTATTACCTGATATTACTTACACAAATACTAAATAAAATATATAAAAACACAGATCTCCACGACACTCACACGTATATAATGTAGACCTAGGCAATAACGATCGTTTAGACGTTTATAAATGTTAAGCCATATAAATAATCTTTACCTTCAACGAATTGATTTTTATCTTCAAAATCAGATATAGATTATCTGTCTTTCTTTCGACTCGTGATTCAAGATTCTTATTATTTCTAATCATTTTCTGATTAAATTTAATGCGCGAGGGGAAAGGTATCTTTAAACACCTTAATTCATTATAAAAATTATCAAATATTACTACCACCTGCCAGTGAAAAGTAATAAATATTAATTTTACTTTAATGGGTTCGCTTAACTAGTCAATATGGTTTATTCGCATCCTTTGGGCGTTTTAATTGTACTTTTAGCCTTTTCATGCCTATTTGAAACCCGTTCATGGATTGAATGGCAGCCTGTGCACTGTTTGGATTGTCATAACTCACAAACCCTTGATATAAAGATTAATTTATTTATGTATAGTTTGATTTCTTTGTTAGTCACTATAAATTTTTGCTTTGAGTTATTTCACTGTTCAATGTTTAAAATACCAAACAAAGATTATTATAAATTTCTTAAAATCAGGATGTCGAACTATTAAATGTAACGGTTTAGTTCCATTCCGATTCTTTCAAAACGGTTTAGTTTCATCGAGTTATTTTTTATAACAAATTTATATCGGTTCGTAAAGTTTTAAGTTAAATTTAGAGATTCATATCATATTTCCTTAAGATTTTTTTTATAAGTTTGAGATTTTTTATAATTAATCATAATTTATAGTGTATTTTTATAAATTGATTTCCAAAGAAAATCTAATAAAAATATTTTTAAAATATAAATTAAATAAATAGAAGTTGAATTTCTCGTATTTTATTATATTAATAAGAAATAACAAATAAACAAGAAACGAATTAATGAAATATATAGTCTTATTAAAATAAATAATATTTCAAATTATACTAATAATTTAAAAAGCCGGTCGGAAAATATTTACATTGGTTCGATTTTATCCTTTAAAAAATTTTTTTTATAACGGTTCGTCAATTCTAGTATCCCGGTTTAAACCCTGCTGAAAATTGATCAAATAACGAATTTACCAAAACATTTGCTCTGATTTGTGGCTTTATCAACGAAAACTTTAGCACTAATTACAGTTCCAAAAGGTATAAACATTTGCATCAGTTCACTATCTCCGAACTCTTGTGGAAGATGATAAATAAATAGATTGCAACCTTCAGGCCCTAAATATGAATGAAACTAAGCACAAATAATTTATAAAATTATTAGTAACCTTCGCGTTGTTGTTGAGTTGTAAAAATCGGGGTAGAAGCCAATTGGTGAGCAGTCAAAGCTTGATTGAACGTTCCATATATAGCGGTAGCAGGATAAGCTGGTTAATAAAAGCGATATTGGTCAAACATTTATTATTATATTTCAGTAGTTAAATCAAATATATCAGGGTTGTGCATTTGACCGGTCAAATACGTTTCGGTCAATTGACCGATATTTGACAGGTCAAATATGGCCAAATTCAAATATATGTTTTTTTAAGTCAATATTAACTTTATTTTAAATATAATAATAAAATGAATCTATAATATTAATTTTTTAAATTCATTGTCGTTCAATAACTATGTTTAGCTCTCTGTAGCAGAGTCTTGTTCTGACTCATTCAATATTATCATTTTCTTTAATATTTTTTAATCAATTTTACTGATGTCGAGATCTTTCGATTTCTATTTTCAAAAGAATTTTAACCCAAATCGACCTATTTCTTAAGAAGAACTAGGAATTGTTAGTCTCTTAATGGGCATGATGGCAAAGTTTTATCTATTAACTTGAGGTCGGAATTGATTGTTTCTTATGGAAATTACTGTTTTCCACATAATTTGCTATTAAGCATGCTGATTTAGCTTCTGAAATTAATTATATCACTTAAAATATTTTGGTCATCACAACCTTGTAAAATGGCTAATTCTTGAATTATATCATATACTTCATTGAATTCACTACTAGTGAGATGCTCCACTTGATATTGGGGACCCAAAAAATAAGCAATATTGTGATAACATGTATTTATATCGTTTTTTTCCTGTTATTAATTTATTTTTTTTCGATTTTTTTAGAGCATTTGACCGTATTTGACCAGGTCAAATACTCCTCCTGTTAATTGACAAATTTGACCGGTCAATTGACCGACTTGCCAACCTTGAAATATATAGAATATAAAAGAACATAAGGCATAACCATGATTTTGCTCAAGGGAAAGGCACTTTAGGGTAACTTCCCTCCATTAATTTATTTTTCAATTTTGGCCTTATTACATTATAAAAAAATATAATTTTCATTTTAATTTTTTTTCGGAGTTTGAAAAAAATTTTGAGCAAAAATCTTTAAAGATTTATTTCTTAATTTGTGATTTCATCTTAAAAAAAGATTATTTTATTCATAAAAATTACAAAGATTTACTTATAAATTTGGTAATTTATATGTAAAATTTGATCATAAATCTCTTTAAAAATATAGATGCTCAAAATTTTTTGAAAATTTGTTTCAAAATCGTTTCTTAATGTTTTTTTCTAAAAAAATTCAATTAGTCATTCAAAAATTAGTATTTATAATAAGATTGTATTTATTTTGAGGATATAGTGGGACGACCTGAGTGTAATCTATATTATTTTAACTTTATTAAATTTCAAAATAATATGTGATAATAGAAGACTATTTACCGTATGCCTGCAAAGCTTGAACACTTTGTAGCGTTGCCGCTGTCGGGCTTTGTAATAAAGGATCAATTGAATATGCGCTCCCTAGTATTTAACATAATTTTTGTTATATAATTTTTAAGCTTTCTCCCAATCATTACCATACTACCTACTATTTATTTTTTTTAATTAAAATAATTTGCCATATTTTTTCATATAACCAATATTCATCTTTTTTTTAAATAAATGATCAATATTATATAAATATAATTTAAAAAAATATATCTATGTGTCTGTAGCATAATTTGCTATAAAATTATCTTAAAAATTTATAATGAAATAATATATTTATAAATCGATCTGATTTACCTTGATAATGATGGCCCAAGAGACTAGGCTGTGCAGCTGCAATAGTCGCCAGGGCCGCGTTTGAGGAATACAGTTGTTCTAAAAATGCCATTTGTTGCTGTTGGGTGTGATGATGATGTTGCAAATTTAGGGTGTGTTGGTGATGAGGTGAGGCTAGTACAAAACTCCCGGTATTAACCGCATTATTACTACTACTATAATGGCTGTGTACTCCTACGCAAGTGATTTGACTAGCCGTAGAAATTTCGTTACTATTTGTAATCGATGAAGAGCTAGTACTTGAATTACTAATTGTACTGTTGTGTGAGCCGGAAACGGTAGTAGTTAAGCTGCCATGCTGCGAATGGTTTATACTTCCGCCCAAAGCTAATCCTACATTGTTAATCCCAGAACTCGATATTATATGTCCTTGATGTTGTTGCTGGGCTGCCAATGCTAGAAGTAATTGCTGGTGATTATGGGGTCCTCCTATGACTTGGGCCCCGGATAATGTCCCATAGGCTGAAGGAGGGGTAGTATTTACCGCTCCTAATGCAGCTAATGTTGCAGTATGACTACCACTTCCATTTAAATCTTATTCAGATTTGTTTTCCAAAATAAAATGATTATAAGATATATATGAATAATTTGCTGTTATTGCATTCAAATGGTGAATAATGATTTGATAAATTAATAATGTTTCATGGAGGATACAAAAATGGTTTATATTAATTATATTTAAGGGCTGGTTAGGTTGCTAATGCGAATTCTTTTAAAGTAGGTTATAAAATATTATATTTTTTACCCCAACCCAAATTTAGATTGTGTAATCAATATGAAAATGAATTAAAATATAATATTTATGACTATTATATTATATTGCCTTGACAAAAATAATTTACATATTGACAATATAAAATTATGAAAGTAATTAGCCGAGTTATTTTATTATTTGATCGATAAACAAAACAATAATATAGGTAGTCGTTATTCATCATTTTTTAAAAATTTCTCTTAAAATTTTAATTTTTTCAATTATACGAAAAATATTTGATTTTATATATTTAGTTATAAGTAATGCTCTCATAAGTGGTCGAATATTTCTCAAATTTTTGCATTATTGTATTTATTTTTGAAAGGCGCCTTCAAAAATAAATATTTTATTTTACCGATTGAATAAATTGTAAATTGTATATATAAAGGTTTTAGAGAAGTGTAAAATATTGCCTAATACTCTCTAGGTTAGAAAGCAAAAAGTAACACCTTTTATTCACCCTTAAAATTAAAAGACATTTGTCTAAATGATAAAAGACAGCATCATAACAATGCCACTTGGCTTAAGATTTACAATTTTAAACTTTGATTTAATTATTATGCTAAAGGTATCATTTATGTAATTTATTCAGCTTCAGCTGTAAATTTTAAATCATAGATTATTACCTTAATATTAAATTATTTATAAAATTAAAATCACTCTTACCATTATCGAATCATTTCATAATATTTTTAATATTTTTTTACAATATATTGCGAAAAATTTGATAATTTCAATTCGTAAGCGAAATTACAAGAAAAATCTATTATATCGATGAATAAATATATAAAGTAGGCAAATAGGTTTAACATGTGTAGGGGAGGGGGAGGTAATAAAATTAACAAGAAAAAAATATATATTTGAAGAGATGAAAAATCGAAAAATAAGATAAGTAGTTGCTTGTTTACATGATGTTGCGATGCGATTGCAACATTATCTGCCAGATTTTCACAGATTTATTAATTAAGGAGCAATTAATTATTTGAGGTTAGTATCATTGTTTTATAAAAATTTGTTTTAGAAATTTCGGAATAATTTTTTGAATGTCAAAATAAAGTTCGATAAAATATCTGAGAATGTTGGAGCTGGGAACCAATATTAAAAAATCGAATGACAAAAAAATTAACGGTTAACTTTATCTATGGAAAAGAAGTATAACGGTTAAGTTTCCTGGAGAAAAAAGGCAATAGTTTGTACAGTACCGTTATTTAGAAAAATGTAAGGTGAAGTGTAATTACTTAATTAAATTCCAAAGTGAGAAAAGATAGATGAAAATTGCCAACAAAGATAACAAGGCTTATTGCGCTGAAAATTGATATTGAATTCGCGATTCACATGATTAATTATTACATCACCTTTAAGAAAATTTTTGAGAAAACATTCGTAATTTTTAGGAAATATTATTTTTCGTTAGTATTCGTAATTAAAAATATAAAGTAATTATTTAATCTAAGTGGATTATTTATTTATTTTTATCTTCATTAGAAGTAAAACATTTAATTGTTGTATATATGATAATTTAATTATCGCTTGTTATTTTCTGTAAATTTTTATACACCAATGACAATTAGCTTAGTTTTAGCAGAATCCTTCACATCTATTAATTTTTTTGAAAAATATAATCTATTTTTTATAAACATTGAAAAAATTTCGAATCGAATAATAATTTTATTATTCGTGCGAATATGAATAGCATGATTATTCGATTCATTTTTTTGTGGGTCTACTTTTTCCTCATATTGTATGTTTTAAAACTTGCAATTAAATCGAAATGTCATCACTAAGCTTTCTGACCTCATTTCTTCATATGATATTCATTCTTTTCACTATAAAAGTCAAAGCAACATAATACCAGAAACAATCCTATTAATATTTTTTTTAGTAAAATGAAACATCAGATTATCCATTTCAAATTTTTATAAAAAGATTTTGAAAATAAAACTGAAATTTATAAAGTAACAAAAATAAGCGCTACTTTTAGAAGTAACAATTTTTGCTAAATTTAATTGATAGAATTACAGGAACGTTAAGCTGTAACAACGCTTGGTATTGGTTTAAACAATACTTTATTGTTTGTTTTTGTATTGGTTCGGTTAAAATATCCTTGAATGATAAACTAGGGCAGTTACTAAAAGTCGGGGCCGATATTAATAAACTGTCTTTAACCTGGTCTTTTATTTTGCATTAATGCCACGGCCATTTTATGCTATCTGTTAGAGTATTTAACTTTTTGATAAATATGATGTAGATAACTATAATGAGTAGAAATTGACCCATAAATTATTATTTTGACGCTTACCTACATACCTTGTTACTAATGGTTCAAGTTGGCAACATATTAAACTGAACACATAAAGTTATTCATAACCAAGTTTTATTTAGGAATGGCATGCCATTTATCGGGGAATGTGGTGTAGGAGAGATTAATTTAACAATTAAAGGGAAAATTTAAATGATAGAGATGACAAGTGGGATATATTTTAATGTAACTAGAAATATGTATACATTCAAATCAGTAGCGTCTAGGGAGGAGGGGCCGCAGGAGCTTGAGTCCCCAATTTGAAGATCCTCCTCAAAATATTGAATTTTTTTTATACCACTAAAAAAAAAGCTAGCTATAAAAAAAAGAAGGTAATTTAGGAAAAAAAGGTTATTTTGGATATTGTTAGTTTAAAGAAAAGGTAATTTTTAAAATAAATTTTTTTTTTAAGCCCACTGAGATTGTAAAGGTTAGTGACGCCACTGATTCAAATTATTCGCTTATCGTCTTAGCCCACCTTAAAAAGGATTTAACATTTACCTTTCAATTGGGCTTTAATATTCATTCTGTTTGCGAAGCTACATCACGCAATACATCTACTATAACCTTTTGACGTTTGCTTAAAAAATATTGCTTTCAACTCTCAAGAGAACATTTTATTTAATTGTTTTTCAATATCTTTCTCGAGTACTCCTACCTTTTATAGTCAAGAATCCTTTTTATCATCAAAAACTATAGAATATTTTCTATAAATACAAGATGGGGAAACCTCTTTGTCTCACAAATTTGCATTATAAAAAATACAACAATGTCATGTATTTAGACTATTGAACAATAGGAACACACCCGCATAATAAACTAAGGACGGCAAAATCACAACGCTCACCCTTAACTACTAAAATATGAATTATATATCTAAAGCTATTATAAAAGATCCCTCATTATTCTTCAACAGCGAGAAACCAAACAAAAATCGGATAGATAATATTTTGCGTTTCTATTGATATATCGACTAATATTTGCTTACATTTCTTTTAAATTTTTTTCTATTCTATAAAATCATTTCAAAAATACTGTCTTCCATTTAAAAAAGATACGTGAAAGAATCTTAAAATTCTACGAATAAAGAATACTATATGAACATTTAACATTTTAATCAAATTGTCACATTAATTTTTTTTAAATATAAATTTTATTTTAAAAAAAATGAAGAACTTGATGCTTCCAAAAGATGTTTGTTTTCTATTTCCAAGTTATAAAGTGCATTTAGTATATATATACTAAACAATAGCACAATCTTAGAATTTGAGGATAAAAAACAGTAATCTTTTACAATTTCACTATTCTGGTATCACATTTCCCAAAGAGGCCACAAGTCTATTCGACTACTTTTTATGCTACCACTACTAAATGGCAAAAGTATCAAGGCTACGATCAGTGACATCTAGGCTCTTTTAAAATAGGAGAAAAAATTTATTTTTGAGAGTAATTTTTTATACATATGTATTTCATTTATTTTTATTATTATTGATTGCTTTGTTTTATCTTCCAATTTTAGAAATTTTCTCATTTTGTTAATAATTTTTTTGTTTATAATATTTACCAACCCGATTGTTAAACTAAAATGTGTATTAGTTAAGCATTACATATTGGTCTAAGTTTTAGAATTAGTGATTTCAAAAGCATGGAGGGGGGAAATTTTATATTTAGCATAGCATCTTAATATGGGATTCAGATTCATATCAAATTTTTATAAAATGAAAAGTAACATCTATAATCAAATTAGGATTAAACTCTCAATCCCCGTCATTCTTGATGGGCTATCTACTAAAATATTATAAAGATCGTAAAATTATAAGATTCAAAAAAAATTTGAATTGGGGAAAATATTTAGCATTTAAATTAAGGCATGTATTTATAATTTTCATTTCTCTTATAACTAGTTTTTGTTTATTAATGAACTGATTGATGAATTAAAAAGTACTAATCAGGCATTAAGTACTTCTAATTTCAGTATGATGCCGATCTTAACAAATTTTTCAAATGCATTTGTGCTTATACTCTGAAGCACTAAAATATACAAATGCGCGCTAAGCATTATAATAAGTTTAGTGCTAACAGAGTTTTGCTGACACTCAAGGCATGATACCTTGGTGATTATTAGACTTAAAATTCGATTATTTAGTTGGAGAATTAAAGTATGACACTAAACAATAATGCAAACCAAATATTTAAAACTTCTATATTCCGCGTTTTGTTATGATATCAAATTTGACAATTTTTAATTTATTTTACCAATAATTTATTTCCCCTTTAAACTCTCTACCAAACAAAAAAAAGCAATAAAATTATACTAATTGAGCTTTACTCAAGGGTTTGGTAGAGGTTAAATTAGTGTTTCCCAAAGCTTGCCTCACTTCACGCCTAAATCATGGATGTCATAGTATTTTGTTAATAACTCGATTTCTTTTCTGTTCTTCGCGAAACTGATTGAGGAATTAATATGTAGTAAGGCAATTAATATGAACCAGGTAATTAGTTCATCTATATTTTCAATTCTATCATGCTAAATTTAGAATTATTATTTTGCTAATAAGTTTTTTTCTTTATACTTACCAAACGGATTCAAATAATATACATTTTAATCTAAACATCGATAAAATTTTTAGTATAATTGCTCTCAGTCGCTTTTATATCGGAAGGTTGTCCAATATTTTGATGTTTTTGTTTATGCTGGCTACAATACTAGTTAAAGTCATAGGCATTAATAAAGGGCGAAACATTACCATAGATGTGAGAATTAGTGCTTCCAATTGTTTATTCAACTTTTAACTGAGAAAAAGCAAAATAAAAATAACCGTAGGAAAATCAAAAATACTTAATTAAAATTTTTCATAGACGGGACTCTTCTGAAAATTAGCCCCTCCCCTCAAAGAATTCTGGCTATGCCACTGCTCAACATTAGGCATTAAAAGATGATGGTTAGATCTCACCGTTTAGCTATTATTTCCTCGACCTTGTCTGTTTAACATCCAAAATCAGACCAGATTACATTTATACATTAAAGGACTGCATTGCTTCGAGTCTTTTTTAATCTTTAATTCCGTGTCTAATATGAAAATTAATAAAAATTTAAAAAATACATTTTATTAAACATCACATATTCCCATTTTATCATTACCGATACTTTTTTTTTAATCATTGGCTAAAAATTAGGCATATTTGACGACTTATGAGGCTGATATTACCTTTTCAAAGGATATTAAGTGATATCTATAGTTAACACTTTATATATGGCCTCTGGGTTTCGCAAATTCAGGGCTATCTTTCAGTGATCAAAGTTTTTAGCAATTTTTAAACTTTTATAGACAATTTAGGCATATATTTTTAATTTATATGAAAAATCTATTGATCAAAATTCATATAAGTTAAGGGTAGTTTAAAGGTTTAAGAGATTGTCTTAAATTCAAATGGTAGGCACTCTATACATGCTAGTATATGATAAGTATACTCGTTTCTAAATTAAAAAAGCGTTGTCTATAAATGATTTAAATATTAGAAATTAGTTAAAAATCCAGATGTGCTCCTCAAAATGATGGTTAGAGTAGTAAGGATTAGAATACAAAATAGGGATTAATTTTATATTATTGTTCTTAATTTTTAGAAATGTTTATTTTATGTAATATTTAATAAACGATTTGATTCAAAGAAAAAATCAAAAAGGTAGATCCGATCTAGGTGTCTTAATAAGATTGACAAGTCTTGAGATTAGATCATCACAAAGGCGCTAATATTTTGAAGTGTCTATGAGGAGGGGTGTGTAAATTGCTTCTATATAATTTTCAGGGGTTAGAGATAGGGGGTAAGGAACAAAAATGTGGGGAGGGGGCAGATCTCGGCCTTTGCAATTATTTGCCCTCGTGACTATTTTGACATAGATTATAAAAAGAAAAGGGATTAGATCTGGCTAATGCTACTATTAAGATGAGAAGGAAAAAATTAAATATTTCAGGATATATATTTTGATAAAACATTCTAAGATGTGTAGTCAACTATTTATAAAATTAGGAAATTTTTTTTTTTAATTTGAAAAATAATTATCAATAATTGAAAAATTGTATTTTTTTAAAATTGCAATTATTTATAATATGATATTTAAATATTTGGTTACCATTTGGGCTTGCTAATATGTGTTGATGATGAATATGCCCGGAGAGGGGTTGCAAATACCCAGCGAAAGCAGCTGCTTGATGCTGATGTAGTAACTATGAATAGTATTAATTTAAGATATTATATTACTTGAATAAAATAAAACTTGTAGCATTCAATGTGGTAGGGAGTGGGGTGTGGGCATAAGTACTTTAAAAAATATTTTTGGTTTAAATTTTAAATCTCTTTATTTGGTTAAATTATTAAATTATTGAGTTTTAAATCCACTAAATTAAGGTTTTTAAGTCAAGTAAATGAGAGGATCTTGATTTATCAAGCAGTTCTTTACAAATCCAAGATTTATTTTCTACTATATTAAAATTATTATATATTTTGACTACTATACATTAGCAGAAATAAATGGTATTTTCTTCTGAAGAAAGTGAATGATTTTTAAAGTTCTGTTAAATTAAAACTTTAATAATTATCGCCGATAATGGCGATATACTTAATTAAAACTTAAATAATCGAATATATCTTTTTTTATTTTAAAACCAAAAAGTTAATTTCAAATCGTAAATTATATAATAAAATGAATACATATTTCTATGTAAAAATATTTTATAAAAAATAAAATTCTCCCCTTGTTTTTTTAATCAAAAAATTAATTAAATTTAAAAAAGATTTCTACATAAATGTCAAGTTTATATAAATGAACATAGATTTGTAAAAAATATAACAAAAACTTACACCCAGATAAAAATAAAATAATAGCAATACAAAAATATTTAACTCCAAAAGATAGACATGACATAAAATCATTTTTAGGTATATTAAACTATTATACACGGTTCATACCAAACTTACATGGAATCATAGCCGAATTACATAATAAAACTAGTAAAAATGTTAAATGGAATTGGACTAAAAACGATGATGCATTATTTGAAAAAGCAAAAAGAATAGTAACAGAACAAAATACTATACAATTTTATAAACCGGATCTTGAGTTAATACCTTAGAGATGAAACTACGAAAGTTCCAATTTTAAGAAGAGTAAAAATATTATTAAATGGTACAAATATACAAAATCAAGCACCAGAATTACAAGCTTTTAGAACAAGAATAGATGAAATAGAAAATGATGACGGTATTCTATTTTGAAATGGTCGATTAATAATTCCATATTCACCACAAAAACAAGTTTTACAGATATTACATACAGGTCATCCCGGTATTACATCAATGAAATCCATTATGAGACATTATATATGGTGGGAAAAATTTGATAAATGTCGAAAAATTAGTCATGCGCTGTATTGGGTGTCAAAAACACGCTGATCAACTACGAATAAGGGAAGAACCAGATGAAACCAAATCAATAATAACAAATAACAATATAAGTTAGGAGAAGCTAAAACAGTAGAAAAAATTGAACCAAGTCAAAAAGGAAGGCAAACGCTATATCCAACAAGGGAACGAAAGCCAACAAAAAGATTAATAGATGAACTTGAACTTGGTAATAAAAAGATTGATAGACGATCTTAACTTGGTGGGAAAGAGATATGTTATATTTGAATGTTTATATATATTTTAAAAGGTTACGCTATTTGAATTATATATTATCATAACTTTCTTACATTTAATATTATATGGAGGTCAATTAATTGCATATTAATAGAAGTTAAATGACATAATTATAAAATAATATATATAGGAAACAATTATAAAATAAAGAATCTATTGTTTTGACTATAAAAAATGGTGACGAGATAAAAAAAAAATATATAAGTCGCGCGGTTTTCCGTCTTTGGTCAAGTTTAATAATATATAGAATTATAAATTTTTATAAAAAAAATAATATATTTTAAAAATTATGGATAAAATAATTTTACAGGACTTCAAAAAAGAAGATTGTTCCATCGAAGACTACATTGATTATATAAAATATATACTGAATGTGAAAAATATTCCTCAAACTGACGCCACTTTAAAAAAATTATTTATAGCTTATGGAGGAATAAACATTAAAACAGATATCAAAAAATTACTCTATCCTAGGAATATAGAGGTGGTAGGATGGATTGACATATACAAAATTGCTAAACAACTGTATAAATATGAAAGAACTATTTTGACATCTAGAATTGATTTCATTAGATTAAGTCGCGGGCCTACTGAATCCGTAATGAGCTATATAAAGGAGCTAGCCCGAAGATGCGAAATTGAAGATAACGTAGAACTAAGAATTCGTGATCAATTAATCGCCGGACTAAAGATGTCACAACTAGATAAAGAACTACGTTTAAGATATCCAGATACTAAAGACGAAGACCAACCGTTAAGCTTAAACAAAGTTGTAATGGCTTTAGCGATGGAACGGGCTGACTCAGAAATAAATAATACTGCTAAAATGGTATATAAAATCAAAGAGACGAATAAACATAATGATAATAATAATCGGATAAATCAACATGATAAAAACAATGGGCAGTATAATGATAATGATAAACGGTACTATCAAAAGGATAATAAAGCATATTTAAAAAGAGAACTAGTGCCCGGGTATAATAATTACCACACAATTAATAATAGTAATTTGATAAAACCATGCTATTTCTGTAATCGGTTTCATGCTATTAGAAATTGTCCCGCCTACGGAAAATTGTGCAGCAATGTAGGAAACCAAACCATTTCGCCGTATGTTGTAAAACTAAAGAAAAGATTTACGGTACAAATTACATTAATAAAGACGACGATTCAGATGTCTGAAGTTTATATATTTTAAAAGGACGTTATTTGTATATTATATTATTATAACTTTCCGACATGTAATATTATATTATCGAGGTTAATCAAATTGCATATTATTAGAAGTTAAATTGGATAATTATATAAATGTATATATACAAATGAATTACAAATAAAACTTAGGGATTTGACACCAAATACTTATAATATTGAAAAATTAGCATCACAAAGACAATTGAATATATTTTTTTATAAATAAATACCTTTAAGATATATTTCTGTATCAATCTATATATTCAGTATTTAAATTTTTTAATTTATATATTTAATTTTTATAAATTCTTATATATATTAAATATTCGTAAATTTCATATTTTTATACAAATTTTTTCCATCACATTTATTTTATAGTGATTCATAATTGTTGCTATGCCATGCTAATGTTTCAATGTTATTTTCATAAATAAAATCATATTTCATTATTTAATCCTGGTATGCATTGATTTATTATAAATTTTAATCCTGGTATGCATTGATTTATAAATAAAGATCCAACTTAAATTTTACTCTGGTGTTGAACAATAGTTTTTATAGACCATTTTTAGTTTCCCCACATGCTACCCTCCTAATTTTTTGGGCATATTTCTGGCACCTTCAGGATCGGACCCCCATGGACTAGATATGGGTCTAATATTATATTTTATAGCGGGCCTGGGGTTAATGGACTCAGGCCGGGCTTGGGGTTAAATTATTTAAATTTAGCATATTTAAAACAGTTGCTTACTAAAAAAAAATATTGCAATTTTTTCCTTCTAATAATAAGTATTGCAAACAAAAGGATTGACTAAATTCACTGAAATATTGTTTATTTTGATTGATTATACAATAAATTAAATTTTTGGACATGGTCTTGGGCAAAATTTTTTGAATCTTATTATGGTTTTGAGAATTTTTTTTCAATATTAAATGGGTCGGAGGGGCCCGAGCCTATAAATTTTTTTACTGCATGCCTGGCCTGTTCAATAAATCTAGGCCCATGAAGTCTCTACTCTAGTTACGCCACTGATGGCATTGGTTACCTAAATATATGTAGATATGATAGCTTATACTAACTGTATATCTCATTAATTAATCAGCATTATGATTTTACCTGAGCATAAGTACTGCCATTAGATGCATACGTTGGACAAGCTATCGGTGTTCCTTGCATATTAGCTGCATTCAATGTTCCATTCTATAATTTAAGAAATTATAAAGTCATGAAAATATTTTATTGTCATATTTATAAAACTTAATTATGTAAAGGAAAATCCTTAAAGCTTTATAAAACCCAAATTGTGAATGTTGCCTTATTTATTTCGCAAATTAAAATGTAAAAAACAAAAAAAACCAAGGCAATTGAAACCTTAAGTTTACGTCTCTAACTATTCAGAATTATTATTTTTTAGGGGTTAAAAATTAAAAATGGTTTTGATAAGTTAAAAATTCTAGTCACTTTTGAACTTCCTGATGTTATATAGAAAACTACAATTTTAAAATTTGTGTGGATTCTTTAAACTTTGTTGCCCAAAAAGTCTGACTGACAGAATTTAACGAAAAAAACATAGTAGTCTTCTTGCAATTTAATCATTGTAATTCAAAAATGAAATTATATTGATTATTTGTTAGTAGCAACTCAAAAAAATGTTTTATTGATTTTTTTTAAAAAAAGGCCACGATGTAATTACACTTTTGCTCAAATTTAATAGTTGCTCATCAAATGTTTATTAATTAATTTTAGCCCTCAGATATTCATAAGTTTGAAATTGAATCTTTAAAAAAAAAAATTGATACCCCTGCTCCAAGTAAGGCAGCTGCCACCACGGCAGCTGTATTGACATTAGAGTTAGCATTTGCATTAGCAGTAAGAGCGTTAGCAGCGACAACATTTCCATGCTGCTGTTGTGTTGTAAGTTGACTCAGTTGATTAAGTTGGTTTAATTGACTTAACTGATTCAATTGGTTCAACTGATTGATTTGATTCAAATGATTGATGTGCAGTTGTTGGCTGTTATTATGGGTGGGTGTAAGTAAGTTTATTCCCAAGCCTGTCGAAGCTGCGGCTGCAGCAGCGGCTGCTGCAGCGGCAGCTGTTAACTGCTGCATCCGGCGCAGCTGACGCTCTTTTTCATTATCCGCGAATTTGACTACCAAGCTTGAGGACGCTCCCTTTTGATTTTTTATATATATTGCATGTCATATGCTCCTGGGGTGGGGGTTAAGAAGGGCAGGGTACTCCATCCTTCTTGAAAAATTAATACTTATGTTTTTTAATCTATATGTATAACGTTTTGTAAGTTATTTGAGAGTCTTTCTCCTTTCTAAAATTATTCACCTTACCCTGATATTTGTTAAAATTGGATAAATTTAAATAAAAATTTTAGGGAAATGTTTGATCAGATTTAGACTAATTTCTCAGAATTGATAAAGCAGAAATGAATCTCCAAAACAATATCTACCAGGAAAGTTTTAAAATATTTTTTTAAGACAAAAAATCTTAAAATGAATTCAAAATTATAATGAGCTTAAAAAAAATAATAAATTATTTTAAATATCCTGGTCCCCTTGTGTATCAAAAATTTGATAGTCCTAAACCCGGCCCGAAATTTTGAGCCAGGCAACATGTTCAAAATATTTTTCGGGACTGACAACTAGTGCAAAATATTTTTTGGGTCGTCCAAAAAAAATATTTTTTAAATCTTCACAACCAAGTTATGCTCTATGGACAGGTGCAAATGTTACTATAGATATATATACTTTATCTACCTGGTTTTCTAATAGTAATTATTCTTTTGTACAAAAAAATGTAATATTATTAAATTATGGACGTTTGTAGTATATTTAGCATTCGCCAATAAAATAACGGTTATATATGATAATAATTGTTACAGGCATCGTCTTGCTTCCATGCAATGCAGTTATTGCAGTTTGGGCTTCAGATTGATTTCGAAATTTTACAAACGCACAACCTACGAAAAAAAATGAAATTAATCTTTAGTAGGGGAGATGTAGCATAATAGGCATGTTTAAAGACTGGCCACCACCCTTTAACATTTTATCTATTGGACAGATTTCTCTCAAAATTGGTCAAAATGTGTATATTTATGATATATACCTTACCTAAGTTCATTTATTGATCAATCCAATAAAATAAATTTTAATAAACCCTTTTTAGTGCCTCTTTCTTGAAAAATCACTTTGTACATTTTTTAGTTTGGTCAAAAAATTGCTAATTTAAAATACTGATATTTTATATAAATATTATGCTTAGGCATTTAGCAATATTCACACAAAATATTAGAGCTTACAAGTTTTATTTAATATATATATTTATAAGCATTTAATGATAATAGACAAGTGAGTTTTATCTGGCCATGTATTGATTGGCCGAAATTCATTCATATGGAAATGAAAATCTTGCGTAAAACAACATTTGGTGAAAATGCAAATGATGAACAATTTCAATTGGCAATTGATAAAATAATCTTATTTAATTTAATATTCCTAGAAGAACTTTACTAAGAGTAATTCAAAAATACAAAGAGACTTTGCAATATCCTCATATGGAATTGAATTCAAAAAGAAATAAATTAATATTCACCAAAGCTCAGGAGTAAATTTTAAAAGATTACAAGCTAGCAAATCATTCATGGGGTTTGGCATAAAATAGTTAAAACTTATAAATATGTCAAAGCAATTTTTAATAATATTAATTATATATTACAATCATCTGTAGATAATTAGTTATCATAGGTTTCACTATTTTTTCATTGGTGGATTCAGGATTTTACTAGGGGAAGGGGGGTGGGGCAGTATATGATAAATTTTTTCCCTTGAATTTTATTGGAGATCTATAGGGCCACTTATTGTAGGAGTTTAGCTATGTTAGATTTTTATAAAAATAATTTTGTGTATTTTTATTAAAAATTTTTTTAATTATAGTCTTTATTTTAAAAAATTACTAACTTTTACTAATTTTTCTTTCAAATTCTTCTTTATGATATATTATATACATCTTTTGGGGAGAGGGGGGGGGGGGGGGTGGGAGGTTTGTAGAAGGAAATTATTATTTGCTTAAAATGATATTTACGAGAACAGGCAAATCCCCCCGTCATTAATACCACGTCTGTAATTTTTATATTTTATGTTATAAATCATTTATTTTTAGATAAGAATATTTATACAGTTGACAAAAAATATGAGTTAAAGTTTCCTTAATCTAAAGAAGAATAACAGTGGCTTTGCATTATATGCAAGAAAAATATACATAGAGCAAGAAGGGGAAAGAGTAGATTAAATGCAATCACTCTGAAGAATATCAAGCTCAATATACCAATAATCATGATTTATTTGTTTGTTATTTATGTAAATAAATATATTATAATTTTCTCATTTATAAATTAATAAGATGAATTTCATTGTTGTTTATTTATAATAATTATCTAATTAAGTTTATTAATCATCATAAATTTTTAAATTAGATGAATGATTAAATAATTGAAACAATCATTTTAACATGTAGACAATTAAGATAATAATTTATGAAATCATTAATTAGATTGAAATTTTATAATGAAATAAGAATGTTTAACATAAAGATAATTAAGATAATAATTTATAAAATAAAATATTATTAAATATATGAGTTATGATAAAGTGAGATGTTAATATTAATTAAATTAGTAAATAATTAGGTTTTAAAATACATAAAATGAAGAAATTTTATTACAATTTTTTTTACAAGTATTTTATATTGTAATTCATATTTATAATAAAATTCTTAAATAATATTTTATGGCCAGTTAACCATAGTATAGAGCCAGTTAATACATAATGTTTTGACTGGCAAGAAAAATAAATTCCACATAACCTCAACTAGCTCAAAAACTATTATTGATAGCTTTGATTCACCTTCTATTTTAGAGATTAAGAATTGGGCGACACATATTTATTAATTTTGTTTGATTGAACCTTCTTAATTATTATATTTTGAAAAAAGCAAAATCATGGCCAGTCATGCCACATCTCCCCTGAACAAAATTTTCTACGTTAAATAACGAAAGAAGGAGAAAGAAAGAAAGAAAGAAAGAAAGAAAGAAAGAAAGAAAGAAAGAAAGAAAGAAAGAAAAGAAAGAAACACTTCATTTTTTAGGCTAATTTTACCTCTACTGACACCGTCCGTTCCTCGTAATATAGTGCATTCTTCGATTGTCCCATAAGAATCAAACATTTGTCTCACATCGTCTTCTGTTTGATGCTTCCCTAACATTCCAACGAACAGCTTCCTTTCTTGATTTTTGTTTTCGTTGTCAGCTGGTTTGACTTGGATTGGTCTACTCATCTATTAACGAATAATAAATCATAAATGTTACAATTATTAGGTGTAATATTAGATTTTTTTTAAATTTAAACTATAGAATGCAAATTAGAATGCATGAACAAGTCCACGTCAGGTTGAAACCCCTTTCGACTAAACTGAGTCAATATGAACTCTAGAAAAAATCTGAATTTGTAAAGTAGAAATTGATTTTAATTATTTTTTAAATTATGCATAGACTTGGAAGAAAGCTTTTTTTCTTTTTGATACTTTAAAAAAAGAGTAGAACTCCAACCTTCTAAAAGTTGGGCTATATCTATCTGACAATTAAAATAAATTTAGATCAGTTTAGAAAAATAGGTCCGATGCAAAGTTCTAATGCAAATCATCTACCATCAATTTGTATTTTATTATGATCATATTTAAGAGAATTTTTGTTAAAATTTTTATTGAAAAATTAATTAACTGTAACTAGTTACTTTCAAATAATGGAATTACTCACTTTTCAAAAATTACTATAATAAGATAGAATTTGGAGTAATCCTGTATGTTCCTGGAATATTTCTTTTACAAAGTCTTTAGAAAATATCATTTAAAATACACCCTGATTACATGCCTAAATAAACCAAAAATTAGGCTTTTTAATCAAATGTTATATATATTTTGCAAAATATATCACTCAAAACGATTAAAGCCCTGCAACTGCAAGTCGGGACAAGTTTTATCTTAAAAAAATTTAAAAATTCCAAAAAATAAAATACAATATAGTTTTTTTCTGTTTTTAAATAATAAGGTAATTGATAATGAGCTCTCTGCAATGAAGACAAAGTAATTATAGCGACTTTTTAAAAAATATTGTGTCTTATATTTTTCTTACCTGGGCCTTAAAACAAATAAAATATTATGGATCGGTTAAAAATTAATAAAAATTTATAGTCGGATAAAATGGATATTTGCACACCGTATTAGCATGCTTAACTTAATATCAAAAGGGGCTTAGTGGAGACCCAGATAGATAGGACCCTTTTTGTTCAAACTAACTATTTTCCAACCAATCTGGATAAATAAAACATTCTGAATTCTCCATGGACTTATTATAGCATAGACTGCTTAACATTGCAAAAAGACGTTCCTTGATTGATCGAAAAAAAGTTGGTTTTATTAATTGCCCACCAATTTTATATTAAAATTTATTGTAGCTTTGTAGGAAAATATTTTTAAAAAATGGCACTTTGATTTTTATTTTGAAAATAAATTTCGAAATTATAATAATTTAAATGAAAATGTGTTAAGAGAATTATGAAAAATTAAACCCATATATTTATAATGTTTAAAAAATACAATTAATTCTTAAATTTACAATAAATAAAATTCGGGAGCCTCTATAATTGTCTAATTTTACAATGCCATGCTTGTTCCCCAATTTATATTGGTCTACTCAAAATTTTTAACTAATCTAATTTATAAATGATTATCATTTTTGTAAAAATAAATATTTACTGTCTATTTTTATGAATTTGATTATACACTAGTTATATTTAATTGTAAATAATTTTTTTATTTTTGTGCGCCCATTGCTATGACGTCTATAGGTTAGCCCAGTTGAGAGATCTAAACGCCACTGATTTCCTATATCACCTTTCAATTTCAATGCGATCTAACGTCATCCCCTCGGTGGTAGAAGTGCCCGTCCCTCGCCAAGTCATTGATTATATTACCCCTTACCAAATCAAAATTAGCAAAAAAAAATTTAAAAATAAATTTGAATAGTATTTTTATAAAGGTCAAAGAGAAAACTTGTCCTTGATAGAAAAATTACTGAGAATTCAGTTAAATGTAGTTTCCATCCGATTTTCATATATCTTATCTTTAGTTTGTAGAAGGGTAAGACGGGATCATTATATTTTATTGTCATGGCGTCATTGGAAAGTAACGGATGAGCGTATAGAAATCAAAAAAATTCTCAAAATTTTGAAATATAAATAATTACCTTTTTTTATAAAAAAAAATCATAACAAATTTATTTGTAAAATACTCAAGGAACTTCGATCGGATAGAAATAAAAACAAATAAAATATCTATTTTTTCATGAAAAATATATCCACGAATCAAAATATATTTTAATTCTACATTTTTATAATATACCAACCAAATATAAGATTATATTATGATTGGCATTATGAAATGTTTAATTTTGAAATAATTATTATTTTTTCTAATGTTTTTATATTTACACAGCTTTATGCATTAACACAATCTTCCATCTCTCTTAGAAAATTTGCCTGTCTCTTAAATATCATTTTAAGCAAATAAAAATTTTCCCCTTACACCCTCACTCTCTCTTCCTCCAAAAATACAATATTAAACAGTAATTTGAAAGAAAAATAAGCAGAATTTAATTTTTTTAAATAATAACTATAATTGAAAATTTTTAGAAAAAAAACTTTTTTGTAAAAAACGTAGAAAATCATATTTATTCATTAAAATATAATATAGTCAACGGTCTGCAATCTTAAAGAGCTCCAATAAAAATGGAGAAAAACTAACCTAATAGTGCCCCCTTCCCATAAACTAGTAATTTTTACTAGGGAGGGAACATTGAAGGTCAATTTTTAAGGGCACTTGCCTATGTAGTGATGGCCAAAATTACTTCCTATAAAATCTTCTACCGCTCCAATTTATTTATAAACTATCATCGTATAAGAGTGGAAATTTAAACCTAATATACTAAATGTGTTATGCATTATTGGCTAATATTTGAAAAATATTTACTCCTTCAATTTTTAGTAAAAGTAACAAAAAATAAATGTAAATTATATAGTTTAGATTTATAAATATAAATTAATAATTCCTCGAAATAGATTTTAGGAAGTTTTTTTAAAATTTAAATTTTTACAAAAATTCCCCAAAATTTTTTAAAAATATCTAAATTAAATTTCATTCACTTAATTATCGCTTATTAAAATATTAACAGTGAATTAATATATTTTGAAGTCCTTTAGTATTATAAAAATATTATGTATATGATCTTCGTTTCTTTGGTGTAGTCCTAGCAAGTGATGGACTAACCTAACATGCTATGAGGCATATTGGTCCAAAAAATATATCACATTTTTGTAAAAAATGACAACTTACACTTATTTCAAAATCATTTAAGGCTTCGGAATCTGAAATATAATTGAGATAATCTGATAATTCCAAAAGCATTTAAATAGTGATATGTTTACAAATTTTTTATATACGAGAATTTAAAATTATTATAATGTATAAACAAAGATACATGTTTCATAATATATTCAGGCATAAAAAATTTTGCGTATTATGAACATTTTATTTTATATTTTAATTTTAAAATAAAATCTAAGCTCATGAAAAAAATTAATATATTTTTTTATCAAATAATAATAAAAATTTATACAATTTGAAATAAAGTTTATTTTATATACAGTCCAATTTAATAATCATAATATACATTATATATTTTTTTAAGTTATTATCACTAAAACTACACTGAAATACATATAAAAGAGGATAAAAAATTCAAAAACCATTTTAAAAAATAAATTTTTTAAAAAAGCATTATATTATAACGAAGGATAATTATTCTTATATAATATATTTCCGTAAAATATTGATTTATTGATTTTAGATATAGTGTGTTTTATATATACGTGGCGATGATGTAGAAAAAATATATACATCTAAGTTTATATATATACTTATTATCAAATTTAGTCTAATTTGTACGGTTTCGATAATATAATGAGGTGGGGATTCATGAAGAGAAATAAAAAAATATCCAGATAGTGGTGAAGCTTTTTCCAAATAACATAATTTGTTTAAAATAATATCTACTAAAATAATTCAGTAGCTAGACTCATTTTAATGAACATTATTTGCCCTTCATTGGGTTAATTATTTAACATTTTATATTTTCTGTTGATTATACGATTAAAAAACGAACTAGAATTAGTTGAGACCGGGGATAGTTAAATCAGTGTGTCTAACTATCTACCAATTAAATTTAAGGTACTAGGATATTTAAAATCTGTTGTAGCATATATTTTGGTTTTTCGGTCCGGCCTCTATATTTTATACTAGTTATCCTGACACAATCCAAAAATCTTGCGGCCAGAGCGGGGCTAGATTTTGCGCTGGGCTACCCACACGAAATAAGCAACTATTTAAAATTCATTTTAGTAAAACTTTGATGCCAAATATATAAAATTTCGCAAAATTTATATGTTAAATCTAAAAAACATTAATATATATAATAATTTATATTTTAGAACAAAGTTTCAACCCTTTTTTATATTTTATCATAATTAAATAATAAAAAGTGAGTTAATTAATAAAACTAGTAAAAAGCCCGTCAAAATGGATGGGGAATTAGATTTTTATTCATTTTTTACGATAGATGCCATTCCAGGTCCAAGCTCACAATATTAGGAAACCCAAAATCTTATAATTATAAAAAAGTTTATCAAGCCCAGCTCAACCCTTAATAATTTGTAAAAGATATTCCCAAGTCAGGTGCAAGCTAATATTAATAGCATGAATAAAAAAAAATTTAGTCCCAAAAAGATTCCGATTTTAACCTTGAAAGTCCAGTCGATATCGATGAATAATGATTTCAACATCAAAAGTTTTGCTAACGAGTTTGGACCCAAAAAAATTCTGAAATAGTTGAGAAAGTCAAATTCGATCCCAATAACACTTTTGAGTTTAAGACGATGCTGGAAATATTAATCAAGTTATGTTATGATTTGTTAATTCATTTTTTTAAAAAAAAAGTATTGTTATATAATATATAATATTTTTAAAAACATTCATCAACAATATAAATGCCGTTTCTAATGGAAGTTAGGATTACGGTGATAAATTTGATGACATAATCTTTGATTGTCTATGTTAGTAAGAGTATTCCAAACTTTTTTAAAGTTTTTTTATTTTTTTTTATATTTAAATTCGATTTTAACTTATATTTTACTTTAACCTTCTTTTTTTTTAAATGTATCTTGGTA